ACTGCTTTGTGGAGGCTGTCTGGGATACCTTCACCCTGATGGAGCCAATGTACTTTGGAGCCTATAATGGTTTTGAAACTGAAGGAAGTTCTGTAAAATTGTATCACCACATGAAATATGGTCTTTCCATGCACTCAGCCTCTTCTGTAAGAATATATGAACACTGCTACCAAATCAGACGTCAGAACACATTGTTTTTTACTTCAGCTTCTTTAAATTCACAACATTGCAAAAGAAAAGAGAAATAGCTCTGTGTACCTTAACAGCAGAACTGCAAGGAAATGTAGCAGACTTTCTCATGTATAGCTTATGAGTTTACTTTGGAAAGAACTTTAGCACTTAATCTGTGCAGGAGAAACAAAGCTCTCCTGGACTAGTACCAATTTCTATTAGTTTTGGAACAATCCCCCATCCCCCAGCTCATGTTCCAGCCTTCTTTGAATTTCTTTTTGTTAATTTGCTGTTTTAGCTGGCTACACACACTCTGAAAATCATAGAATTACAGAACTGGTAAGGCTGGAAGGGACCTCTGGAGATCACCCAGCCAACCCTTCTACCAAGGCAGTGTCACCTACAGCAGGTGACACAGGAATGTGTCCAGGTGGGTTTTGAATGTCTCCAAAAAGAGAAACTCCACAAGCCCCTTGGCAGCCTGTTTAGTGCTCTGCCACTCTCAATGTAAAGAAGTTTTTCCCCATTCCCCATGTTGAAGAGAAACTTCTACTGTTTCAGTTTAAGGCCACTGCACCTCATCCTGTCGCTGGGCACTGCTGAAAAGAGCCTGGCACCATCCTCTTGACATCCATCTTTGCGACATTTATATTGATGAGATCCCCTCTCAGTCTTCTCTTCTCTAGACTTCTCTTCTCTAGGCTAAACTTCTTCTTCTCTAGACTAACAGGCCCAGCTCCTGCAGTCTCTCATAAGAGAGATGCTCCAAGTCCCCTTTGTCATTTTCGTGGTGCTCCGCTGGACCCGCTCCAGTATGAGAAATGAGCGTGAGAACAAACATATTCAATAACCAAATCAAACACTCATTCTGTTTTCTTTATATACTTACATTTTATTACAGACTAATATGAAACCATCTCATATTCATACTAGAATTACTGTAATTACTTGTGAGCAAACTTAAACCAGTCTTGAATGTTTATATTTATTGCAAGCAGATTTGTATCTCCTGCTTATATATTCTACATAAGGATCCAAAATGTGGCTGAATAGAAACAAGTTATATTTGGTTGTCTACAGAAATAAAAGTTTAAAACAGCACTGAAAAGAAACTTTACAGTAATGTATTCACACATTGACTCTTCAAATCAAATAAATGAAGTAGTATAGTATAATCTGAACATTAGATTTGAAGGCTGATTTATTTTCAAATAAATGCACCTAAAATTGTTCAATTAAAATGTGTCAGTACTTGGTGCTGATGACTACAGACATCTTTAATGTTTAAAGCACAGATATCTACCCCAGCCCCATACAGCAGCTTCCACAGATTCTACTTTACATTAGATCGTGAAAGAACCTCTAAAATGCAAAGTGTACATAGCACAGAATTTATGTCCAAGACAATGCAGATTGAAATCCTGTGAATTTTCATAAGGTAAAAAATTAAAGCTATATAAACTGATTTTTTTGATTATTCTGCAAAGTAGAATCATGTACGTTTTCACTTTTGTAGTACTTTCACAAATTTCCATTAAAGCTTTTTTAACAGAGACAGTAGCATGAGCACAAGGATCCCACTGGCTTCCAAAAGAAAAGTAGTGCAGTTCCTCAATTACGCTATTTTTTTCCTCTAATTTTTGCAAGCCAGTTGGTTCAAGACACACAGGCTAATGAAAGCAAGAAAGTAAACTGTAGCTTTTACATTAAGTGGCTGAACAAACAATTATTGTACATGGTAAAACAAAAAAGATCTTTTGCCACAAGCCACTGCAGGAATATATGAGCTTCTGTGGCCAAAAAGCTTGAAATACTTTCTAAGTCTTCACATACATTTGGTTAGTGCTTACCAGTTTCAAGACATTTATAGAAGCAGTTATGGAGACATTATGCTGTTAAAGCTGCAACAATTTAAATGAGGCAAGTTAGAAGGTTACATACATTTTTAGACTTTTCCTCTTTCTTTTTTTTCTTCATACATAAAAATCTGTCTCCTTTCAGTGTCCCACCCATAATAAAACACTCTAATGCATTTTGATCTAATTTCTACTTTTTCATCTTTTATATCTTTTGCAGTAAAACTCCCAAGTTCACATCTGCTGCAGTGGACTAGGTATACATGGCAATAGTAACAGGGACTGAAGCAAAAACACATCAAGTGAAGCCAAGTTGATGTTTTATGTTCATTTCATTAAACAGTCTATTTTAACAAACAAACAGCACCAACTTTTAAAGGTAAAAGTATTGCTAAATCAAAGCAGAAACTTCCACTTAAATTCAAGCATTCTTTCTCCTCCAAAAAATGACATGTTTAACTAAAATTTTTCAAATGTATACAGGTGTTTCAGCCTGAACAATGTTGTCAACAATATCTAAGTGCAGGGCTACATGAAGTTAGCAATGAACTGCTTTGTTAGTAGGCAGAACAGGAATGCAGCATTTTCAAAAATATCAAGCAAAATTTTCCTTATTTAAGGCTAAAAGATAGAACTCACAAAGTAAAAAAGCAGGAGGCTTTACAGAGTAAAAAAGCTAGCAGTTATAATATAGCACTGCAAGTACAGTGCTCTAATCGCTGCTACCAGAAATCCCAACAAAACATCAATAACTTGGGTGAGACTCATAGAGCAACTGACCTGTATTCTAATTTGACATTCATTAGAATTTCAACATTCAGCCACAACTCCATTCTAAGCTAAATTTAAGTGGCCAAAACTTATAGTTATAAAAAAAGCCTTCAAAACATATACTTAAAAAAAATAGAAATGGTGTGTTAACAAATGTATGCGTAAAACAGATTTATAAATAGCTACAGTATGAAAAATATTTCAGTGCAAAGGCAATTTTAAGATTTCTAAAAAATACATTACAAATAATTTGTTAACTACACACAAGAAATTTGTCACTGCTACTGGTATAAAATGTATACCCATATTAACTTCTTAAAAATATATACACCAGTGTTTTATGTAGGGGACGGTTTTAACTGACCAACATTCAAGTCTGCAATGGCAAGTATATGTACACACACACACACGTGTATGTATTTCAAAATGCTACTGCTATAAGGATGTTCTTTGAAACTTAAAAGTGCTATATGTCAAATGATAAAAAACCTTTATCTGTGGTGCTCACTGTTAGACTTTGTAAAATTCTGTTATCTTTGGTATACTGAAGATTTCATAACTCACTTTACAATCTCTGCTTGACCCAGGGCATTTTAATAATAAATCATTGTTTAATATGAAAACTACTCAGAATACTGCGAAGGACATTTCCTAGTAAGTTGATTTTTCATTTATTAAAAAAGTAAAGTAGTAAGTAAACTTACTTTGCCTCTGTTTTTTTCTTGTTAAAACACAAAAAGGGAAATTATTTTTCTCTGCCACCCTTGTCCACATGAAAGACAACTAACAATGTCTTGGCCAGGTCTTCCAATAAATGCTGCAGGTCTGATTCCAAGTATTTTGTTTTCACACTGAAATACGTTTTTAGTAATGTCCTCACAGAGGTATTGAATGAGGATGGCCATTAACCAGCTGTAACCATTAACCAAGCTGAAATTGACTGAAATCAGATTACTGCTTCAGATATTTTTGCACCCCAAAATAAAACACTGGACTAACGAAACAACACAAGGATGCAGCTAAGAGTTGAATTACTGCAAGGTAACATAAATGTAGCAGAGAAAAGAGAAGTGCAAGTTGGCTGTCATTCTTAAGGGAATTCAAACAGAATCCTTGCAGTCATACTAGTTTCTCTTTCCCACCTGTGGTTCAACTGTTAGTCAACAGTTGTGTGCCACCTGGTGGTTTGCCTGAAGAGCTAACAGCAGTGTGCTTTGTACTACATCTACCAAGCCCATTAGCCAGAATCTAACCATACACGCAGACAAAAAAAAATCAAAATTAAGAGTATGAATCAAGATAGCAAAAGATACTCATCCAGAAAAACAGCTTTTCTTGTTTTAAGAAAAAAACCCAACAAACTGTCAAAAAAAGCTTAATATGTAATACTTTCTGCTATATGTATTTTACAATCATAGGGACAGGAAGTGAGAACACCAGGTAATGTGCATCTTTGACAAATTCAAAGATGTTTTGGGCAAAATGCTTACATTCAGTTTGTAAGTAAATGCCAACACTGGCAATATTTACCTGTTTAACAGCCAACTTGACTTCATATTGTGTGTGCATACTCTACACAAGGATTGTTTTGCCTATCTTTCTACAGGGGAAAACTAACAGAAACCATACATAGCCCTGATTTGGCCACTTACAAGGAAGTGAACATTAGAGAGTGTTTCTTGAAAGCAGATTTGCACAGAGGAAACACCAGTTTGTTCTAAAGAAAGAGCAAAGAAAGAAAAAAGGACAGGGGAAAATCAGAAACAGCACTTGTTAAATATGCTTTAGGAGAATTTCATTTGAGATAACTGAGACAATTGCTCCTGGCTTAAAATTAAAACTGTTGATTTCAAAATGTAGGTCACTGACTAAAACTGCACTTCAAGTAACAAAGAAAATCACTAAAGATGACAGAAGTAGTAAATACACAGAAGTCTTGACACAGGATGAAGAGAATTTTTAGTGCTACCAGTCTCACAGTACCAGACTGTGCAGATTGTTCATTGCTCCAGTAGTTCAAAACATAAAAATAGGCCTATTGGCCTGGAAGGGTTCATACTTCTAGCTCTTGATCCTGTTTTCTCAACACTACCTCAGACAGCAAAAGCCACATATAGTTTAATATGTCTCTGTGACACGTCTGTTTCCTGAAAAAATAAATAAACAAAACCACAGTTTTTAAAGGCTTGACTTGGTGTTCTGTCATATGGACGTTTCCAAACCTGACCCACCATAGTGGTAGCCTGCACTGGAACGCCAATGCTTATTTGAATAGCCAAAGACAGATGGAAGTACTGAATAATCAATGCCTTTCCACTGCGTAAACATCACTTTTTTAGAATGAGAATTAGACCTTCTTGCTGGGGAATTGCTGCAGTCACTGCTCCTGTATCTTGGGCTTTTCAGACAGGCAAGAGGTGTGAATTCTGAGATGTGCTCCCGACAGTGCCTTGATGCCTTCTGTTAAAGGGAAATAAAGAAACAAATACACAGTAAATAGACAATCTAGGAACCAAAAGTATGTAATTGTTTTCTTTTATAGGACCACTGTCCCCTTGGTATACTAACACCTTTCCCTAGATCACCACTCTGGATATTTGATTAATGTCAAAGTATAATCCCTCATGTTGCTTTGCAATCAACCAGTTTCAACATGATTAGTTTTATACTAAGACTACAGAACCAGGCATGATTTTACACTTAACTTCTAAACCTGATAATGGGCTCTTCAGAGAAGAGATGAAGACACAGAGGCCTGCCTTCAAATGAAAATGTTTTAAATCAAGGTTATATTTCATTTTGGAATTTCTCCTGGTACATCTTTTTATCCCTGAACTTCTTATGTGTAATTTTAAGACAGGACAGATTCAAGCACTTTGCCTGGTAGTTCCAAAGGGAGGAAATTCTTTACAGGCAGTTTGTGCTAACAGATGAAGGTTCCAGAGTTTAACGCACTTGCTTTCTACTTCTAAGCAGTGCTGAATTTTAGACTTGCTTAGGTTACGTGTAGCATCTATACAGGCAATTCATACGGTACATCTCAGCACTACCTTGGTCTAATTGCCCATTAAAATTTATCTTTCTCACATAATCACTCCACACTCTGGCAGAATCGGCACTTCCCCTCAGGAAATGCTCAGGACTACAGAACACCACAGCTGCATGACAAGAGCCTGGACGTGTGCACAAACTGAAATAAAACTAGCAGAGGCCTTTCCCCAATGAGTTTATTAAATTCTTTTCACTAAATGCACATATAATTTCCAGGTATGGAGGTATGGAGGTTTTGTGATGGTATCTAACATCTAAATGCATTATAAACATGGTTCAAAGCAATATTATTAATCAATCTCTCCATGAATGCTATATAAATCAGTTAATCCTCTATCATTCCCTTCTTCCCTGTTAATCAGAACACAGTGATTTTGTCCTTTTGAACACCAAAAGAACAAAATCACAAAGTAAATATTAATGATATAGCTTATAGAACTTTGGCTGCAATGTAACATGACACTTTAATGACAATCACAAGCTTGAAACACTATTCTTGCATAACCTGGAGTAATCTGAAAGCTCTCTTAAAAACACACTCTTGGAAAGGTGACAAACCTATCCTAAACTGCTCACCACAGCGAGGCCTGGGTTCTTTTAAACACATATAGACCAAATAGCAACATTATTACATAAAAATCAGGTAACACATCAGCAGATTTGCTTTGGAAATGTACGAGGGAGTAGTCATACAGTTTGGTAACTAATTTTCCTTTTCTTTGAGCTAGAAAGTGAAGCATTTTAGTTACCACAGATAGTTCTAAAAATAAAATGCTTTTTTCTACCCGTGGCTCCGAGACAAGAGCCTTTACCAAGCCTGAAGTTAGTCAAGAAGTTGGTGTTTTCTACTATTGTGCAACAGTCATTTAAAGCAAATCAGCTACTTTAGCTACCTTCAGTTGCTTTGAAATCCTACAGCACACAGAGCACATGACGTTTGTCCTTTTCACATACTGCTAACTTTGCACCTTCACTTAGCTCCTCATGTGCTGCTTCTGGGGTCAGGAGAGCATGAAGGGACTGGAACAGTCATGGCATCCAGGTGAGAATCATTACAGTAAAGAGTGTGCCTTCTTACTTGTTTGTGTCATCAGTGGCGTAGCAAGGAGATGACGTAAAGCAGAGAACTTCATTCTGCTGGCCTTATGTTTGGGGAATTTAGTTCACTGCTTATGCTGCTGTCTCAGACATTCAGCTTAACTATCACACTTCTCTCTTCATCTGAGGCAGCAGCACAGCAATGCCCTGGTCTGTACAGAACACAGCACTGTGACACTGCCACATGCACAGCCCTGCTCTTCTGACCCAAGGTCCTATTCACAAGTGACTCGCCATGGTTATCTCCACATGTTACCATCTGCATTTGGTCTATATACGTACTCAAGAACATGACAGATGATGGAGAAACTGCTCCTGGGTAAGAATTGCCTCTGACTTTATGTACTCTACACTGTGGTGTAATGTGAGTACACACTGCAATAATGAATGCAGCTCTTACAGAAGAAATGTCACACAACACCTATACATAATACAATGTATTTATATAGGACATGAATATGGGTATATTGATTTATTGGTTTGCTTTACATGATTAACTTTCTGAGACAAAAAGATCTTACCTGTGGCATGGAACATCTCTTGCAAGAACTAGGCTCTCCAAGTAAAACATAATGATTTTTTATCAATACTGATAAAGTACATCAAAAACTCTGGAGGAAACAGTTGATTTGTAAATAGCACCAAAAGCAATTAATCCAAATTGGCAACACGTACAGTACTTTTACCTAGCTTTGATCTAATTATGGCTCGGAAGGTGAAAGATTTCCTTCAAGAAGTGGCCCATCGCAGCTCGGCAGTGCATTTTGGCCTGTTTTATGTCTCATACTCTTCTGCAAGGATGAGGAAAAACAGTGAGACTCTTGATGAATACCAGAAATGTGAATGAATTGTACCATTTGGTAACTGTTATAGCAAAATCCTGTAAAATCCTGATGGATTTTCTGACAGTCTTAAAAAGGAAAGGTTATCCAGTGTAAAACAAGGTTTCTATTTCTGGATCTTGAGACTAATCATTTGAGAGTGTTTTTAATTCCATTTCAAACTCTGTTAAAAATTTCTCTCAAAAGCACTAAACTGACTAAGTACTGTGTGCTCTGTGTCCTGCCCCTCTAACAATAACCTGCACTGAATGGGAGAGGTGCCTGTGGTACAAATTTATCCTACACTAAGGAGTGGACATCCTGCTTCCCTACTCCCCAGAACAACTGGCTCACCAAGGGAGAGCCCCACATGGAGGTGATGGGGTGCTGCTCATCAAGGCTGACTTACAGCTTCATCATTACACTGTGGGCAGAGTGGGCCAGGGAGCTGCCAAGGAAACTTCTTCCACAGCATTCAAATATTGCAACAGCAAGATCCACTGCTTTGTTCCCTCAGAGGAGGAGCCTGACACGTGACAAGGCAGCAGTTTGCTGGTGAACACTTGTCTGAGCACCCAGGGCAGTTGTTCTACAGCAGCTAAGGCCATTGAGGAACAGAAGAATGATGAATCCCCAGAGAAGCTTCCCCAGGCAAAAGGACCACTTTGGGTTTCCCCAGGTGCAGCAAAGGGTCAAGATCTCATAACATGGCTGATGGCCCATGCTTGTGACTGAGTGAAAGCACAGTAAAAAATCATCAGTCAAAAACAAAGAGAAAAAGAAAAATCTTTCTTTAAAAGGAATGAAAGTACAGGAGTCATTTACAGCTCAGAAACTAAACACCTGGTATTTCAGCTACCAAATACTTGGAATTGCTGAAATACTGTCAATCAAAATGAAAATTATAAAAATGGAAATAGGATCATTTAAATTGAATTTATATTTTCCCTAACAGAGTGCCTAAAATTCTGCTACTAATGAAAGAAGAATAAAGAAAAAATAACCAATGTAGATTGGCTATATAAAAAAATACCCTATTGCTTTTTAAAAGTAAAAGCTGAAAGAAACCTTGCAGCTGCACAGTCACCAGTTAAAGCACAAAATTCAGTTTGTGTCATTGAGCCAGAGTTGCAGAGACCACATGTATAAGAAATAAGCAGATTTTGACCAAAATTACCAAAAGACAACAGATTCCTCCAAAGCTTTTGCAGAAATAATGTTGTAGCCCAAGAAAGACAACAGTTCCTATGTATATAATATTTATATCAATATCCATATACATGCATATATATATATACACACATATACTTGTAGGCACATATATGTATCTGTATGCACATATATGTCTGTATGTATGTGTATATATATATATTATATCACAGAAAAGCTCTCTGAAAAAACCCCAGAGCTATATGTAGAATGTTTAAAAACATCCAAATGTTAATGATGGTAAACAATCGCTCACCATACACTGGAGTGACTCTCAAATGACTGAAAAATCTGGAAGTATAAGAACTGCTTCAAAGGCTTTATGCATTCTTATTGCCTGAGTAGAACCAATTTAGTAACCTGGGAAATGGTCACTAGTCCTATGTTTATCTTTTCAGTTGTTCCCAAAGCCCTTTTGTTATAAAGAAAGCAGTACATTTTAGGAATGCAGTACATTTTAAAATGTTTTTTTATAAGCTCAGTTCAAACCAATCCTAAGACACTTAAGAGACAATTTTAGTCAGAATTGTCGATAGTGAAAAAACCTCTATTTTCCCTCTGATTTATATTATTACAGTAAATTTTATTGACCATCTATTTTTGAGGGGGAACAAAGGAGAAAATACATTTTTTTATCTTAACCACTTAAGAAAGAAAGATCTAAAATCTGCAATGGAAACTGACAGTCTCTGAATATTAAGTAAAAAACAGTTTTCTTGCAGACTGTAGGGGAAACAAGATTTACTAGCATTTCTTCTACTTTTATATTAAATAATGTCATGAACTTTCAGGCCTTGAGTTGTTTTCTTTCTAGAAAGAGCAGAGAATTTCATAAAAGGGAATATAAGGAAAGCTCAGTTTCAAAGTGCATGCTTGAAAAAGAAAAAAGCTGCATTTTCTAGCAGCAGAGAAGATACATTAATATATTCCAATGACTGCTTAAGTGTCACATTTCTAGTACCACATTTTCTGTATGATGCTAGCAACATCAGCCTAATCAGAATTATCACTTGTTTGGCCACTATCCTACTTATTCAGGTACAATGGAAACACAACAGGCATTCATCTACAGACAGACCAATGATTAAAATGGGGATATAAGAATCATAGATTCCTGAGGCAGAAACATTCTGTAAAACGCAGCAAGAACAGTGACAAAAATTGATAGTGACAGTGATGAACTGTGACAACAATTCATACAATCTTTGAGATACTCAGAAAGAAAAAACTGTACTAAATTGTATTCCTCAAAATATAGTTGACATGAATCACAAATGGAGATAATGAGTATGGTAAATAACTTCTGATGATTAACTTTATAAAGTCCTTTGAATGAAATGGCCAAGCATGCAGAAAGGCAGAAAAAAGTCACCTTTTGTTCCATTAGAAACTTAGACTGCTTGAAGTCTGAGAAAGCATAAAGATGGTAGACTGCTCAACAGAAAGGCACTGATGTTTAGTCTGATTTCCCCAGAAGATTGTAGGAAGCAACCGAGCACATCATTTATGTTTAAAGCAAGGTAGCAGTTATTTAGACAAAGTGGATTGCAAGACAGGAAGAAACAAAGAGAGGGAAGAAGAAACACAAGCGATATAACTGGTTAAAAGTCACAGATCTTTGACTAAATATTAAAAAATTAATATTGTCAGTGTCAAGCCCAAAATCTGCTTTACTACTGATTCATTTTCCAGTACTAATATACAATGTCTGTAAGAAATGCTACAAAACCTTTGGTAGGGGTTTTTATTTACTAGCTTGTTTCTTCACCTTAACCCTTGCTCATTCTCTCTCTTTAGACTTTCAAAGTAACTATTCAGAATCTGTCACAGACATCTTTTGTGAAAATCTTTTTCTTTAAGATTTTTTCCCTTCTGAGAAGCTGAAGCCTCAGAAACAAAATGTAAACAATGGTTATCTGCGGCTGTAGAATGCAACAGGTCCATCTGTGATTGGCCCATCTTGGATGTTTATAATTAATGGCCAATCAAGGCCGAGCTATCTCGGACAGAGTCTGGGAGAGCTGCCTTTTGTTTCATATCTTTGCTATTCTATTCTTAGCTAGCCTGCTGAAGAAACCTTTCTTTCTATTTTTCGTCTTAGTATAGTTATAATGTAATATATATATATATCATAAAATAATAAATCAAGCCTTCTAAACACAGGGTCAACATTCTCGTCTCTTGCCTCATCCAAGAACCCCTGTGAACACTGTCACAAGAATCTATACTGAGGTCAACTCCTTCCACAAGTAGTACATATGACATCTAAGATCTCTGAATGAAAAAACATTTTAAGTACTGATCTGCCTGGGAATGCTTTCCTGCTATTCTCTATTCTTTCCTGAAGTAAGGCACTATTACACCTGTACATTCTAGGAATACAAAACAGTGGCAGAGGGTTTTACATTTCCACCGGGATATTTTATTTTCCTTGGTAGTGAAGCTCCTTTATTCCTTTCCTCTTAATGCAAAAACCTTCTCAATTAAAGATCAAAATGGTACCTAATCCCTTTTGCTACGAGTACCTCATTCTTTTAACCTACTGGTGGCAGCTCAGGGGCTGAAAAGGGCAAGGGCAGTAACATTAAGTTTACAGCTCAGCACCCTTCTACTGTCCTTCACATTCTAACATATATAATATATAAAAGTTTACTGGGGTTAAATACAGGAAACATTTTCTATTCATGTCCCCAGCATGGCCCCATGGTTCCCACAGAACCCGGCTTCCACTCCACCCTTAGAAGAGATTGCCTGTATTTACACAGTCATTTCTCCTTTTGGGCTGATCAGATGAAAGGAGAAAATAGATTTTAAAATACTCTTCCCATGGGTACAGCAAGGCATGTTTAAGTACAAATAATGGATCAGAACAGGCAAAATGTAAGTCGAAATATAAAAGAGGAAAAAACTATAAATAGGATATGAGTCAGTTTTAATACATGTGTTTTTGTAGCAGGCATCAGCATGTTATCAGATGTAAGTGCCTCTTATCTACCCTTTTGGAGATCCCAATCCCCTTGCCCTTCTTATCTCCTCAAATCAGAAATCTTGTTGAGCCATGTAGCTATCTCCCACCATCATCATCAGCTGCTTTCCTTGTGGTTGCTGGTATGGAGGCACAAGTGTTGCTCCAGGATTTAGGTTAATGCCACCATGTAAATAACTGGCAGCATTTTTCACCATATTGCTCAGACACCACAGATGGGGAACCTCTGCTTTAATCTTATCTCTGACCTTGGCCTAGGTGATTAGACACTTGTAATACAAAAAATACCTAACTTCACAATGAAAAAGATTATTTACCTGGATTCTTTCTGTTGCTGTAGGCCACAACTCCCTGCATAAGACCTTCTTCAGAACATCTGGAAGAAGGCTGACAGTTATGAGCAGAATTATACCCAGCCACGCAGGACCACTGGACAGCATTTGCATGAACACATAATACATCCTCTGATAATTGAGAAAAGGCCTGGGAGGAAAAAAGATAAAATAATGATTACATTTCAATACACAAAAGAAAGGCTGACAGTATTAAATACAAGAATTATGCCAGTGGTGAAATACTTCAGGTTCAGTTTCCCAGTTTGTGGGAGTTCATCCATGCCATCTCAAAGGGAGCTGGTGCTAACCATGCACCATCTGGAGGTAACTACCTTCCTTTTGTCTTCCAGACTGCAGGAAATATCATGCTGTCCCCTCCCTGCCATAGTGTCTCTCCCTTGCAAAGATAAATTAAGTTCATTCTTAACATGTTTATTATTTTCCATGTACCCTTATCTTGCCCCAGGTATTTTCCACCTTTCTTCTTAGTGTCCCACCCACCATTCCCCTGATCTTTGCTAAGGCACACTCCTTTGTGTGTATCCTCAGACTAATCTTGTTAACCACACTTATTTTCGTACTTCTCAGGCTCTCATAAGTATCTCTAATACTTTCATGTTATGCTCCCCTCCTATTCACCACATACTTATCTAACCACACTATTAATACCTTCTCTTCCCAACCTCCCTGTATCCCATGCAGCTGGATGATCATTAAAATGCCAGCACTGTATGGTACTGGGAACCAGAGGCCACAATCACGGAGCCAAGATCAAGGGACAGTTTGCAGCAACACTGCAGTGTAAAACCAGTTGGGCAGTTTCCTGATGGTTTTGAAAATGTGATAGTATTTGCATACTAAAAAGCTAGCTAAGCTGAAAGTCATTTTTATATACACACAGTCACATCTTTAACACATAGCAATGCTGGTTGGAAAACCATTGGGAAAATGTCACTTCTGCAAACTGACGCTGAAGAAACTGAGATCTGATATTACTAGAAAAAGGAGGCAGCTAAATATCCAAGGAGTTAAGAAGTAGTTACTTATTTGCAAAAGCCATGCTAAATAAAAATCCTTTCTCTAAATTAAATGGCATCTTAATCACCAAGCAATAATTTGCCCCCTCCTTCTCTAGTCCATCAAAATACTGTGAATACAAAGTAGAATTGTAGTTAACTACTAGCAGTAGTTAAAAAGATGGCCTTGTAACTGAGAGCGCTGCAAGTGTGAAGCAAAATTTCCATCTCCTGATGGCAATCAGGCACAATAAGGAACTGAACTTGTTCCAACTTATTTCCTTTCCAAAAATTTCAGTTTCAAGTACACAGAACTTTTAATAGCAAAACCCCCCCAACACTTTAAATTGGGTATGCCCAAGAGTTATACTAATCCCTACAAAGCTTCTTACCAACATGAATAAGTAGGTGATCAGACACCTACAGTAACTCCACTTTGCTAAGTAAGGAGGCAAAACAATGAGCTCAAACACAGGACTCTTGGACATACACATGACTTGGATATTGAGTTCTGCTCCCTGTCTCTAGTTTGACTGCTACAGCTAGCTTCCAAGCCCAGCAGGTAGGTGGGTAGTCATCTACTGCACAGACATGACCTATTTTGTGACATTTTGACTCAGAAAGGCAATGTCAGCTCCTTGAACCAATGCTTGGTTGGTTCAAGAAGCTTCTTGAAGCTTCTTGAAGCTTCAAGCAGCCCTTGGACTGCTTCTGACTGACACTACCGAGATAAAACCCAGTGGTAGTCTGGGGTCTGATATTCTCCATGCATTCTTCTTTAAGAAGATTTTAGCAGACATGCATTGATTGAAGAGCTGAGCAATCTAGTTAGCAATTATGATGTGTTTAAAATAGAGTTCTGCATTATATAAAGGCTAAATTTAATTCTGTGACAAGAAGGTGAAAAATAACAACTTCATGTTTCTGAAACAACTTTTGCAATGCAATTAATATTACGGGTCATACCAAATAATTCCTCCCCAGAGTAGAGAAAAGACAATGTAGAATACCAGTGATCCCCAGATCACGAAGTGATTTATCCACGTCCAATAGTGTGTATCTATTGCAAGCTGAAAAAAAGATAATATATCATGTTATTACTATCTAGACACAACTGGAATTCCCAGCAGAAGATAAAACAGAATTATACCCTTTGAAAATAGGGGAGAATTCTACACAGAAGTAGTTAAAAACATCTTTCAAGTTTGAGCACAGTTAAGAAGGCACAGATAGCAAACTCTCTATTCAAAGTAATAAAACAATGCATGATGATATAAAGAAACTAATATAAATAAGCAACAATTAAAAAACAAGTTTTAAGAAAGTTTCAGTGGATAAAATACAGCATACCTTACCTTAAATGTAACCGTGAATACAAGCACAGTAAACACCACTGTTCCAAAGGTCCAAGTTCCAAATATCTATAAAAAATGGTCCAAAGCAGTTATAGGCAATATTGTTCACTATGTTGTCAATTGTTCAGAGTAAACATCTTAAAGCTTAGTATTGCTTTGTAGCATGACCTGACACTTGAGCAAAATGACTTCCTACATGATCTATCCAGTGCAATGTGCTCTGGTTTCTTGCTCTGTGTGTACACACCTCAGATTTCAGACAGACAGAAAAAGACCACAACCAACATTCTGCTCTGAACTTGAAGTTCACACATATGTTTCCTAATAAAAATCAAGGGTAGCACAATTAACAAATCATTGAAAAACAAACTGCAGTCATTTCATCAATCTTCTTGGATGCCATCTTTTTCCTGATTTCCCTTCTCTGTTGGATGTCCTTTGCATCCAACAATTTCTTGGAGATTCAACAGCGTGTTATACAGATAAGCATAAGAATGTTATAACCATACAAGTACAAAAATGTCCACATATGTTTTAAGATGCTACCCTTTTAACTTGTGTTTGATTTTCTCCCCACTTGCATAATGACATAAAAACATCTCTGCTTTTCAGGTGGGCAGAAACGACCATTAATGCTGACACAGGGAAGAACTAGTGGTGAATATTGTCACAGAGGATTGCCTGGACTTCAGCAGCTACCAGATGACCAGGTTCAGGATCCAGAGAAATACTGGGAAAGTAAGCAACAGTTAGGATGGTGTATTTTAGAAGAGACTGTGTTTGATTCAGGGTATTGCACCCATGAAAGAGAAGTGTCCAAGAAATCCAAATTGCTTTGAAAGATAACTCTTGAGATCTCATCAACTCCCTTCTGCAGTTACAACTTCAGCAATGAGACAACTTCCACGCAGGCATGGAATTTCAGCAGAAGATCCAGCTGGCAAAGCAGGATGTTACTACATGGATAAAAAGGCAAAATGGAAGCATTCAAGAGATGACAATGTGGGCAGGCAGCAAACAGCATAAAAGCAGAAGAACAAATCACACCTAAAACTCAGCTCTAACTAGGATTACTGAGGGGTGTTTAGTGGGACAGAAAAGATATTTACAGATATCCTTGCTTCAAAGGAAGAATGCAAGTCTGCTGATGGAGTGGTAGGACAACCTAGTGGAAAGTTTCAAAGAAAATGCTGAATTACTCAATACTCTGGATAATAGTCTTCACTAACAAACCTCCTTGCATTTAGCAGCAAAGCTTGGGAAGAAAGGAGCAGGCAACAGTGTGGGACCAACAGGTTGAGTCGTTTTTAAGAAGGAAAAGCAGTGGATGCAATGTATTTTGAATTTAACAAGGCATTTGACACTTGGACAGTAACGAAGCAGGGGTTGGCTAAATGGACTACTACTACAGTTTAAAACTGGTTGAACCACTGGACTCAAAAGTCCTTGATGGATGGTTGGCTTCTGGTAATCAGTCAACCACACTAGGAACAGCAACTGGGCTGGAAAATCATGGAATATCCCTGTCAGTAGCTGGATGGTGACAGAATATCATGAGCAAACTACCAGGTGGCATAAAAATAGAGAACAGCTGAAATAATGAATAACAGAGTTTCAATCCAGAGGGACCTGTGCTGATTTGAGAAGCAGGCTAACAGATACCTTATGGAATTAAATAAGGAGAAGTGCAAAGATTTACACCTATGATGGAGCAGTGACTGGCTGTGCAATGGCCCTGCTGAAAAGGAAGTTGCAGTGGGGTTATGTGGACTACAGGCTGAATACAAGCCTATACTGTGCTCTCTCTATAAATAAGGTAAACTGCACAGCAACTGGAAGGATCATGGCCCTTGATGAAAGGTTATTATTCCCATCTACTCAGCTACACTGAGGTTCAACCTGGAACACTGTGCTTGGTTTTGGGCCCCTCAGTTCATGAGTAATGTGAAAAAAATAAGAGATGATCAGTAGCCTGCAACTAAGGTGTTTACCAGCCTATGGCTCTTCTGCAAAGAGGGGTGGAGGAGCCTAGTCTGGTGAAGGGAAGGTTGAGAAACAATCTAGCAGCTGCCCACAAATGTCTGAAGAACTACAAAAATGAAGAACTGGAACAAATTCCTCTTCAGCAACAAGAAATATTCTGCTTAGGTATTGTGAGAAATTTTTCCACCATGAAGACGGAAGAACATTGGAATAGGTTGCCCTGGAAGGTTATGGAATCTGTATCTTCTTCAGAGATACTGAAATCCTGAAAAAGACTAGACAAAGCCTTCAGCAAATTAATTTTAATTAACCCTGCACAGAGCAGTGAGTTGAACTGGATTATGTCCAATCTACACTTTTCTGTATGAGCTCACCCAATATTACATGGCAGGGTATCCATGTCGGAAGATGATCACATAAATATGCTCTGTGTGAAAAACTTTGAATGAAGACTACAGCCAGCCACGGGACATAAATCAGTAGGAAGCTAGGCTAAGATAACGCAATCAACCGGGAATAGAAAAAAATTTAAAACAAACAAATGACTGGCCAAAAGATTCATTATTTTCAGTAACCATTTCACTATTTTAAAACTACTTACTGTGTCACCAAGTCTATTGAACACTAGATAAAATTCAGAAAACCTTCATCATTTGGATCTTTTATTTGGATCTTTGATATTTTATAGGGTCATGCCATCATTATATTTTCTGTGATCTAAAAAGCCTGTGCAGTTAACACCAGACAGGAATCTGGATCAGCAACTTCCAATCATTCCATTTACCAACTTTCTTCTTGCAGATTCTCTTGTCATATGTAGCATCTCTCAGAGAACCTAATGTCAGTCTAAATTTCTGCACACTGAACAAATTTATCCATATTTGCAATAAAAGTTGCTACATTAAATAAAGCATTTGAAACAACCTTCCCCTGTCTGTTTGTTAGGCTAGATAGAAAGCATTGCTCTGCAGTCAAATCCCTTATCCACCCATCTTACTGACTCAGAAAGTGAGGTCCCAGCACAGGGACAAGATCCATAAAACTGCTACTTTGCCACAGAGAAAGGTAAGCAAAGCAATACGGGAAGGTGTGAGTTACAAAGATTCACAATGTCTGTTAACCCCTGAATGTCTCAAGATACTACTCATGCCTTCAGGCAATGAATTATTCTTCTGTAAGTCTGTTTATTAACATCTAGTTTATTAACAAGTATTTTTCTACATTCTGCCCCCAGCCTATCCAAGACTTCCCTTCCTCCTACTGTGATTTTATTTGTTGATATTCCATGATCCAGTTCAGCATTCTGCTCACCTATCTTCCTTCCTGTTGTTTTGTATTTCTCATTCAGTTATTCCTTTTAACTTAGCCTCTCTCAACCCAGCTTAATTGCATTTAATGTACTCTGTATTAAATGTGAAAATAAAGAAAATCACCCAGGAAATACATATTATTATATGGGTAAACTAAGATGACATTTGCAATCTGCCACAACTTCTACAGTTCCTCCCTTTCTTCTTACCTTTCTTCTGTAGCTGGTTTCTGACTGTATGTTTTTGCAACACCAACCATCATGTCCTATCCATAGTGGAACACCATACACACAAAGCAGTATCACAAATTATTAACAATTTATAGGAGATAAATCTTTGGCATCTTAGTTTTGCTTACCAGAAAATGACCAAGGGAGGCATTTATGAAGTAGATCTCAGTGATTAGAAGTACACTTTCCCATTATTCTAGTAATATCACACTACAGGAAGCAAATAGTTTCAAACTAATTTCTACTGAGAAACATTTTGGGGGGAATTGTGTTTGGAAGCAAGCTTAATGGTACGTTCATTTTAGTTTGACATTGTATGGGAAAGATCTTGACTTTGGTAATTTTTTACTAGTTTTGTAATAACAGTGATTAGTTCATTTGTGGGGGAAAAAAATTCTAAATTTTTGCTTCAGTACCCATTTTAACAATCTGGAACCTGACTTGTATCACTACGTATCATTTAAGGCATTAGTGTTTCTGTCAGCTCTTTTATGTTCTTCACTGCTTTCCACCTTTCCCCTGTTCAATAATAACATCTTGTTGCAGTAGCAAACCTTTCAAACCTTCAAATTCTTCACTGACTTTTTCCAGATGTAGTATAATTAAAAAATTGGGAAATAACTATCAACACCTATTAGCATTCATTTGTACATGAACTCATGTAAGTGGCTCTGACTATTCCTGAACACTAGAATTTTTCAAGCCTTTAAATCTAAAATTGCAGTTCAATATCTCTCAAGTTTTATGCATAAACATAGGCATGCATCCTCAAAATAATGAAAAATTTTCTATCACAGACATTCAAGATTCAGAATGTCCCCTGAAGCAACACATTATCTTCAAGTGTTAACATGGGTATCTAGTTGTAGACTTCAACATTTGAAATTTGAGAATTAGGCATTAATCTGGCTTTAGAGCCTTAGAATTAGATTGAATGTGTGCAATGGAAGACAACTAGAATTTCAGAAAGGAACTGAGTCAGAATATTTGCAATACAAACTGTTTACAAAATTGGTACATGTATGGTAACTCTAATTTTCAGCACCATAAGTATATGGTGATGAAGAATTTTGAGCATCTAACAGAGAGCATAATGGTACCACCAAAAAATGCTACGGTGCAGTGTGTAGTTCTGTCTAGTGAAAGTTCACTGTGTCCTTAGGAAAAATGCTTTTTGACAAGTGTTCTCTCTCACACTAGAAGTTCACTTCCCTGACAGATGTCACAAAGGTGGTTTTTAATGGTATGTGAACACTCCATTTCTAGCAAATGTGCATGTTGCATACAGGCAACAAAATTGTGTTGAGTTTATTTTCTCTCTCACTTTGAGGACATTTTCTAAAGCCATTAAAGCACATTATAGCATAAACTGTAAAATATTTCTGTAGCAGAGAGCCAGCAACAAAACATAGGTTACAGAAAAGCATACAACAGAATAACAAAATGCAAGCAAGCAAAAAGCTTTTTTAAAGTTTGTGGTTCTTTACCACACCTCATACACCTCAATACACTTTGTATGAAGTTCCTTTTAAGTACTTATAGAGTAGCTATAAAGAACATTTCTAACTGTAGGCTTAAATGATATTTTACTGCTCTTTAACAGTTTAATTTAAGAACAGTGAAAGATGAAATGGATATCATGACAAATCCACAATAGTCTTACCATGTGAGTGCTGGTTGTCATTAGCTGAGGATAGGAAGAGAAGCAAGTAGCAAAAAGAAAAAAGCACACAAATAAAATAGACCAAAATATCAATGGATAAAATAAATAAAATGCAAAAGTTCATAAAATTTGCATTCATGTGACTGCAAAGCAAGTAGAGATAGATTACTTTAAGCTGCTATATGTTAAAAAAATTAAACTATTAAAAAGCTTGTTACATTTAAGATCTTTTATGATCATTCATAACTACTCTACTAAGAGTGTTTTGATATGTTAAATAGATTATCATCAGATGCATGTTAAGTATGAAACGGAAAAGTTACTGTATAAATTCAGAAGTAATACGTGGAATTTATGTTATATATTCCTCCTAATTAGTATACAATCCTATGTCTCTGCTTACTAATACACAGTATGGTTTATTGCATAGTTCAGATTTTACTAAACAGATAACCCATATATCCCACAGTAACTCACAAAAAAGTTATCATCTTTCATGAAATACCGAAGAAAACAATTAAAACTATGTTCATTTTGCAATTGGCATTAAAAAAATTACCACTGACAGATGAAATCCAACACTAACCTGTCCATTGCTGGTCACAACTGTGTTGTCTAACAAAAAATAGGCACCAAAGAAAAATACCACAGCATCAAACACTCCTAGGAATGTCCAATAAATAAATGCACGCCAGCGCAGCAAAGCATTCTTGGCAACATCTCTGTGTGAGACAAGAAACGTATTTATTATCAGCAGGTTTGAAAATCCCAGATAAATGGGATAATTCATACTGTTTCTTGAAAACCACAACATTTCCACATTACAACTGTCTACCACTTCAAATCTAACTCCTTCCTCAAAATGTCCTCTTTATTTATTTTTATTTAATTCCTACTAAACCCTTTTTACTGCTCCCTGTAATTCTGCTTATTTCAACAATGGCAAACTCCCTGTGCTGTACCCATTTACTTTTCAATCTTTTTAGAGAAGGTATCTCTTTTCCAGTGCTTGCTGTGTATTCATGATCCACTGCAGATATTAAATGGAAACACTAGAGGTCTCTGGAGACTTTGCTTTATTTCCCCTAGGATACTTTTATATGGACTATTGCAACAAAATAAAAAATTAATTTTATGTGGAATGTGAAACAAGGGGTTTGCAGTTGACTTGAAGCTTCAGGTCAAATAGAGTTTCTTGAATGTTTTTCCACAAAAAGAGAGGGATTTGTCAACAACAGAACTCTTCACTAGCATGAATTTTCTTACTACAAAAAAATTTAAATGTTAAAACTTGAGTTCTTCTCCACAGAATGGGCATGTATCAACTTGGCATATAGTATAGAACACATCAGAGTAAATCAGGACACAGTTAAATGAAAACCCTGAGTTACAGAAACATTTACTACCAACCAGTGCTTCCACCATATGAAATTTATAAAGACTGTCTGATGACCTTATAAAGTAATTTCTCCCCCAGAGATTAACAATACAGACTGCAAACCCATATGTGGTCAACAATAGCCTCACCTGGCCCAGAAGAACTACTATTGCCCAAAACAGCTTAGCAATAGGCTCTCTTAGCTATCCAAACCCAGAAGTTTCTCACAAATAAGCTCTGCTAGCTTTCATAAACCAAAAAAAAGGCTTCTGAACTACCATTTCTAAATTAAAAACATTCAAAACATCAAAGAGAAAATAAAAACATTACTGTTGAAGCTCAACCGTAATTTCTTGTATTCCTCTTAAATTTCATTGTTAAAAACATATCACTACATTGATTAACGTTTGGGCAGCTAATATTGCTTCTTTCAAAGAATGTTTTTTCTTTGATTATCTACTGTTACCCCTCCCTGAAATATACTGGCTTTGCAGTATATCCTTTACAAGGATCTAAAGCCTTTACAAGGATCTAAAGGCTATCCTTTACAAGGATCTAAACTGGACACAGTTCTGTTCCTAATTTAGATGGCCAAATGCAGTTAATAGGCAAGAACTGTATTTCAAGTGGCTAAAAACCTAAACAAGTCAATCCCACTGCCCAGAAGTGAGTCAACAATGCAGAGGATAATGCTGGACACCCGCACAGGATACATACTCTGATACACTCTAACAATCTTTCAGAATAAAACATGTAAACTAGAAAAAAACATCATGTTTTCTTTTTTAAAAACACTTCTGTTCTGCATGTTTCTTCCCCATGGTTGGAGGAAATAAAGAGTTCTAAAATAAATCTCCTAACTTGATTTTGTTAAAGAGTGATTTCTGTTTTGCTCTCACTCCCTTTGTTGCAAATGCATTGTGTGGTTTGTAAATGTGCATATAAAACTACATGTTTATCTACTGTACTTTGTAGGCCATGCATGTGATCTTCAACCCTTCTGTGGCAGTGTATCTGATGTTGATGTATCCTTGTGGTACAGAAATCCTGAGGACTTCCACTGTAACAGACACAGATCCCACAACTGAACAGTCAGACTTTGGAATACAGTGTTTTAATTTTACCTGTACAAGGAAGGCTCTCTCTTGAGTGTCTCTGGACTGACATGTTGTTCCATTAGACTGTACAAGAGGATAGGAAGGGAGGTGAAGCTGATATTGTACAGTGTTAGATACGCAGTATCATATAAAGTCTGTAGATGGAAAAGAATTAAATGAACTACTTTTAATTTAAAATTATATCTTACTTTAAAATTAAATCCTCTGCATGAGACTTGATTTAAATGAATACATGAACTTCTGCAGGCAACCAAACCATTCCTTCAGAATGGAGGTAAATATCCCTGAACAGCTGCTAAGTGATATAGGATACAACTCTTCACTTGTATTCCTTTTACCTGGAGAAAAAAGATCAGCAGAAAAATCCATTTCATGGACCAGTCTGGTCTATATACTGGCCCTTCCTATTGTATCAGCTGTTAATACCAACTCCAAAGTACCCAAACTGAAGAGCACATTCCTTTAGAGGCAGAAATTCTTCTCTGACACCACATCCATGTATCTCACTTCTCTTTTATCTCCTCAATGTCTATAAAACATGGAGACATTCAGAGAAGAAGCAAGAGCACTCCAGATGTTTTCCAGCTGTGTATGACTGCAATGAGCTTCCCAAACATCCCAAAGATGAAACATTCCACCAATGCGTCTTTGATTCTTCTTTTCACTGAGATGCTTTTTCCCATATGTATCATCAGTGATACCTTCAAACCTCCCATACCACCCCACAAAGAGAGCTGTTTATTTCTCAAAACCTATTTGGTAATCATTTATTCTGGAAAAATTGCTATCAAAACCCCCTTTATAATTCAAAATTATATTTATCACTTAAAAAGATAAAAATTAAGCTAAATTTTCGTAACACATGCTTTCATATCCAAATCATAATAATGCTTTATAAAAACCTACAAAGCTTTCAGTGGTTGTTTGAAATGGAAATCAAAACAGAAGAAACAGTTTTGTCATTTTAACTCCTCCTGGGGCTTTCTTTCAACAAATTCAAAGCAATAGTACTATTTTCTCCCAATTAAAGCCAACTCTCACTCAATTTAATACTGAAAACATAAACCCTTTTCGTCTAAATTCAGTCATTCATTCCTTTGTTTTTTGCTCCCTCATTCAGAAGAAGGAAGAGGTAGATCTTTTCTACACAAATTAGATGAGAGCAAGGGAGAAAGAAACAAAAATTTAGGAAGGCAAATACTGATCATCTCCTGAATGATGGCACTTTTCTGGTGAGCAACAGTTCACTTTTCCTCTATTTTTCAGTTTTTATATTTTCTTTTCAACTAATTGAATGCTGCTATTCATCTGAAATTTGTAATGCATAGCTGTTTGTACTAGAGAAGACTAGTTTATTGTTTCATTTTCATTCTGGATTCTAAAAATGAGCAACTGATTCAATCACTCATCTTTCAGGATTTCCTCTATTCACATCCAGTAGGCTTAAATCTAACTGACTGTACATTTCCCACAGACATTTCACTTTGCACTGCCATTTCCAAATACTGTATTTCTGTATTCCTTGACTTTAACATTGCTTTTATGATAATTCATATAACTGACTTCTGTATCTTACATGCAATTGCCACTGAATACCATAAGAACCAGAAGTGATGTTGTTCTTTGTAAATTAACACTAAATTCTCAGGAAGATCCTTTTTTTGTTACAAAAAAAAAGCAAAAAAGATAATATTACATTGATGGAAAAAGATCAACTAACCTGTTGTGAAAACCCACAGAAGAACTGATATAAAAACTGAGGAAAAATGAAGCAGACATTCTGAAAAACAAAGTGACTGCTGTCAAGTGAAATGCAAGCACCAATTTATATACAAGGCTATAGATTTGTATATCATAGTTTTATAATGCTAACAATAGTAAGCATTGCAGGAACAGTAGACAAAACTACATATGTTAAATCCCAACAGTCACATCTTGCAGTAGTACTATTAGAAAAAAACCCACTTAAAATATTTTCAAGAGAATCCTACAAGGCTACAGTTTGAAAATAGAAGGGCAGTAAAATTTGGGATCCAGGAATACAGTTCAGTTAAAGCAAAGCAAAAAAGGAACAATCCACAGGAGGAGATAAACCATGATAAGCAAGCATGGATGCTCATGGATTAGCATGGTTACCAGCAAAGCAACTGTAAGATGTTTCTAGCTGTAACCTCAAATGCTATCTTCTCCCAGTTATACCTACAGTCAAACAGCAGAACTCTGAATTACCTTGTGACAGTTCCTTTCTATAATCTTTCATTGCTTACCAAAAGAACTTGGACTGGATACCAACATTTTGAAATAACAAAACTCTCTAAATAGGTGGATGCTCACTATGAACTTTCTCCACCTACACTATCCTAATGAATTTAGCATAACTTAATCTGCAGTGATGTCTAAGTTGTCAAATACTATTTCCAATGTGCTTTAAAAGTTCACTATAGAGACAACCTGGAAGGTACTGGAAATAAGCAAAACAGTCTGAGATGGAATTTGCAGGATATGAAAAAATAAGTTAAGAATTTTGGTTTTAAATGTAACATCAATTACAGAATCTATCTATATAAAAGCTATTTCACTTCATGTTCAGAATAAAACCAATAATCCCACTTCAGCACTGCATCTGGTATTCAAGAAAATCTCTTTCTGGAACTGTTGCTGGTTTGTACCATTAGCTGGAAAAACTGTATATAGTCAGATATTACCATTTAAGTTTTTGAGGTTTATGTAATTGGAATAAGCATTCTCCTACCTTATAAAAGAAGTATTGCACAAGTTCAGATATCCTAATGTAATAAAAATGCCCATGAACAAGCAACATTTTTTTCAAATGTTTAAATTTAGGTATTGCATAGTCACTGTTTCTTGCTGCTTGACGACCTTCTTTGCCAATGACTCCTTTAAAAAACAAAAAAGAGGTGAAGCTATTTACTAACTAAAGAACTATTAAAAAGATACAATTAATTGCAAAATTATGTAATAATGCTATGGTACTGATGTAACGGGAGATCACGACTGTATCTCATACAATTCCTAGGATAAATGCACTAAAAGTTGTCTATAACACATATAAGCTGATTCTTTGAGATTGCCTATTTTTAAGAAATATATGGGTTTTGTCATTTCCCTTGAAATAATATATTAATCAGCAGGCTTACCTATACCAACATGTGCTTCTAGAATCATACTGACATCATTGGCTCCATCACCAATTGCTAATGTGATAGGACGTTCTTTTGATAACTTTATCAACTTCACAATCTGGAAAAAAATAGTGTTAGAAATTCTCCTCTGTAATGGTTTGCTTATTTTGTGTAAGTATAACATTTTAAAAAATTTACCAAGATGGTTTAATAAGAAATTCTCTGAAGGAACACAAAAGCAACATTACTCAATGCAACAGCTAGGCATAAAGATCACCATTTCTTCATGTTACAAAGTATTTGCTCTCAACATTTTTTAAATACTTCCAAACTACTTTGAGAGAGATGGGACAGGACAAAGGAAGAGCCAAAGAATGGAAGCTGTTGTTGCGATTGCTTAATGTTGTGTCAGTGCATCAATAAAGAGGGTTCCAGAGACAGAGTGCATCATTTCAAACAAATCCTGAAATGAAAGACTAAAAACTTCTCTTTCTCATCTGTGTTGAACTTTTTCCCTACATTTAAGAAAATATATTGGACTCTGTATACATATAAAAACTATTGACGTAAAAATTATCCAAAAATTTGACTCCAAATCTCTCCATTACAAGTTATCACCTCTGTAAATTTGGTACCAAGTAAGATGCAACTAAAAACTTCTACAAACCTCCAGATAGTTATAGTGCTGGCTAAATACATCTGTTAATGTGAATAAGGGTTACATATGCTGTACCTGCACACTGAGAAAAAGATATGACAAACTCAGAGAAAAAAGGAATGCATATTCCAGTACTTCTTTCCTTTAAAAGTTCTTCAGCTATCTTGAGAGGTTTCAGTAATGGAAGGATATATTTTTACTTCATACAAACAACAAATGCAATATTCAGGTATACTTAAACATGGTAATGCACACACTTTTTGTCTGGATTCTTCTTGACTTTCCACTTAGGTTAAAAACAGAGAAAAAATATCACTCTGCAGTAATAAATAACATAGGTTCTTATAGTGTCAAAAGAGTAGACCATACAAAGATTGTTAGGTTAAAAAGAGAGCAGTTAGTTCATTTATTAAATATGTTCATACTAGCATATACCAACCATAAAATTTGAATAATATGTAGCTAAATCAAATTCAGATGCACAGCTGGGTGCTGTTTTAGCAATACTATTATCTAAATTGCTTACCAGCAGAAATTCTCCTCTCCATTTTTTTTTTACATTTTTCCATTTTAGAAGATACAAAAATGAATGGTAGCATCTTAAGTTATCATAGTAAGTCATACAGTGTATTAACCTTCAGTATTTACATATGTGCATCACCAACAAGCAATTATGAAACTAAACACAAACCTGTGCTTTTTGCAGAGGTGCCATTCGACAGCATAACACTGCAGTGCAGTTCCTGCAAATATTAAGAAAGATCTCTCTGTAGTTACCAGAGCTCCCATCGTGTCTTGGTTTCATTATTAATGATAATGCTGCTCCATCAATAATTAAACCATAATCTTGAGTATCAGCTGAAAGTCTGTTCGGAGATAAAATATAAACTAAGTGTCACTATAAAATTCTCAGACACATTTAAAATCTGGCAATAAGAATTATGTGAAAATCAATTAATGAAAAAATAATGAGTATAGAATACCGCAAAGTTAATACATTTCCAAAGGAAATTCCTAGTATAAGACTGATATTTACAACATCTTAAAAGTCTGGATTATGTTGAAAATACTCAGTGCTTCACCAGTTTTAATACATAAATCTGATACCTCAGTGACTTGACCAGTGAGTGTAAGTGCATAATAAACGACTTTTCAGTTTGGTTTGAAAAGGTTCCAAGAACTGCAGTGAGGTAAACCAAACTGCAGGAATAAAGTTAATTTTGCAGCACACTCCATAACACAGAGGAAAAATAAGTTAAAGGGAAAGGCCTTTGTTACTATGATGAGAAAATATTTTTTATTTACAGAAGTAAATTGTGCCTTGAAGGAAATGCCTAAAAGAAACCTGTTGGCCCAGATGGATAAAGCCAGCATCTACATCTAGAGTATGGATACTTTGCCTTTAGAGTTGTGGCTTAGTCAAATACAGGTTTACTTTTATTTGTAACACTAAAATAATTATTTAAGTTTCCTATAATATTACAATATATTCTCACCCATAAAATTCTATTAGCAGTATGCCTGTAGTTATTTGAGCATTGTTAGAAGTGTAACCACACTCACAGGAAGTAGTTTATTCACTACTTCATCATACACTGAACAATGGGGAAGATAAGATGATCTGAACTGCAAGAACCATTTTCTGTGGCATCCAGACAAGTTATTTTAGAGCACCCTTGCATCTGCCTGCAGTACACAGCAGCCTCAGGCTCCAGGTCAACAGTGAATGTTGTATAAATGTACACTGCGGTTTATTTTTACTCTCTTTTCAGTGTTCCAAGGTTATACACTACCATGCATGGGATTTCAACAACCACGGTTTCACCAACACCAGTGTTTGTGAGAAAAACACATATTTATTATTATGTATTTTAGGTATCTCCATCTTTTTTTACTAGAACAGAAGCTATTTTTGACAAGTAAGATAAAATTCTGTAAACTACATTTAATAACAGTTCCCAGATATTTTCACCACTTTGCTACCATTGGCACAAATAGGGCAATGCCATTTTGGTACAATGATATCAAATGTAAAGGTATCATTATGAAGTTCAAGCAATATACTGAATGTCTGGTGTATTGTAGTGAAATATTTTTAGTCTGAATTTGAACGTATAGGTAGAATCCTGCTTTTACTATCTTAGTACTATTCTCTACCTCTGGAGATAAAGGCAAAAAAAATAAATCCAAAGAGCTTTAACATGTAGAATTTGGCATTGCACAAAAAGTTAAACAAACATGTTTGACCACACCTTGTAAGACCTGTGCTACTTAAACAAAATGGTACAGATGACATGGAGAAAAATTAGTTATTTAACTGAATATACAAATGTTCTTGATTAGATCAATGGGGTATAAATTGTAAGGAGAACTAAGAAAAATTACCTGGTCTAGAGATTTAAGCTGTAAGGCTATGAGTTATAGAAAATCTCTGCTAAAATAATATCACAAATGCTTGTTAACTCATTGCTAATAGTTTTATGGTGGAAAAATTATTACAGTATCAGTTGTGATTTTTCTTTTAATAGTCAAAGTAGTACCAGAAATAAGATAAAGAACCATGACTGAAACCCTAAATTTATCTAAACAAGCTTATACTTAATTGCCATACAATAATCCACACATTAGCAACAGAAACTGAAACATACTGTGGCTCTTAAGGTAATTGGCCATAATTTCATTGTTTGCAAAATGCCCAAAAGCCCATTTCTGGCATGAATATCCAAGTTTTTCCTTACCCTGAGAAGGTATCCCTGGTTAAGCTGCCATTTTGTCTTATGACAGTTTTATTTAGGTCAAAAAGCACATCGTGTAAACTCTGCTCCTCAATTTTCTTTGTGGTTAGCTCAAGTATTTGTGTATTTCTTCTGAAGAGTTTGCAAGCGTAGCAAGTAGCTGCAGCAGTCTCCATTTTGTCTCCTGTCAGAACCCAAACTTTAATTCCTGCTTTCTGGAGTGCTTCAATAGTGTCAGCAGCTTTTTCTTGTAGCCTGTAAAGCCAATTGACAACATACATTGATGGATAGCTTGGAAATGACAAAGGACTTTATTGAAAGATTTTCATAAACAAATTAAAAGTTTCAATAGAAATTATCAGATCTAAGAATTTTCCCCAAAGTAAGACTCTAAAAATGTTCGGTGGATTAGTGTTTGTTTTTGAATCTTTTTAAGACGTAAAGATTCTTCCTTCATTTCCTCAATACCCATTTTGTAGTTCTTCCCTCTGGAACTTTTGCCTATTAACTTGATCAATAAATTATTACACAGTTCAAATACACTGATTTTTGTACACTAGGTTATAAAGTTACCATGTGGAACTTTAGTAAGCTAAGGGTGTGGAATCAATTAAAATAAGGGGTTTCCCAAAAATTATCTAATGCAGAAAAAAAGTCTTCAATTACTTTGTCATCATCACTGAAGATAAGAAACAATGAAACTAACCGATCTTCAACAGCTGTAGCACCAAGTAATATAAAATCTGTTTCTATCTTCTCGTACACTTCTGCCAATTTCTTATCCCGCTCCTGAAGGGCCAGCTTTGCACTCTGAAGCAGCTTCTGTACCTCGCGATATTCTTCTGCTGAGAGCTTCTTATATGCAACACACAACGTTCGCAGTCCCTCCTAAAGAATGCAATCAAAAGAAACAAAATGCAAAAAACTCTTCTTAGATTCCTTGCTGGTGTTTATGCTGGAGGATTTGAAAAAGGGACATCATGAAGTGACTAAGTATAGACTAGTACAGCATAGTGTAGACTAGGATATGGTTCAGCTTAATTCTGTTCTGCTCTAGAAGCAGTTACAACCTGATTGACCAACCTCAATCTCCAGAAGGTAAACAGCTCAGTGATTCAACTGGATATATGAGATTACAAGGGAAGGCAAACTCAAGATAAAGGTTTCTTTCCCTATGTGTATAATTAGGCAGGATGAGTTAGAATAAATAATAGTAATATAAATAGTAGCTCTGCAGAGTCTGATTTTGATGCTGTGCTGCAGCAGATCCACAGACAGGGACCAAACATCACAAAGAGAACTGAAAGTGAAAATCCAACTACCATTTCAATCAAGTGAAAACTAGAATTTAGCTGTGGGTGTTGCAGACTGCATCAAACTTCTAGACTGAGTGATGAATAAGAAAGCAAGTATATAGATTGTGTAAGGTGGGGAGAAACCCAGTAAGGTTTTACCACCTGAGTTATATATTGCTTCTCACAACACCATTTAACTGGCATTTCAGCTTCCTTAACTTTAATTCATCCGGTAAGTCTTTGTATAGTTACTTATTACCAAACCAAGAAGGACAATTATTAAAATATCTCCCTGCATCTCGAAATTTATAAAAGCAGGTGCCAGATATTTTCTTTGAGAGGCTTCTGTATATAGGAGCCAGTCCTATTTCCAATTATGCAGGATGAATAAATAGGTGCTGGTCTGGATTTATTTCTTGACAGACACTGAATGGATATTATATGTAAATACTTTTCAATTTCATTAGCCTCTTTTACTTGTAATTGTCAGACAGCTGTCCCATAAAATGAAGCTTAGTAAAGCACTTTGAGAGCTTTTTGCTTCAAAACAAAAGCAGGTGACGCTGTAGCAGGTTTTTTTTCACATATCTGTAATAATACTTTGTTTTCAGTTTGAGTACTGGATGCCAGCAAATTATATTCTATGTAAGACTGGCAGTTATCCTGCATTGCAATGAGTTCTGCATATTTTTAGATACAACAAAATTCAATACTTGACTACTCCAAATACTACTTTCAGGTAAAACCAAGTTCTAAATTTCTTTTGAAGATGATCAGCCAGTTCATAGCTGATTTTTAGCAAGCAAAAATGTAAGATATTGATGATCACTCCACTGTCTCAGAGCTTGTAATGCAATCAAAGGCAGCAAATCACAGTTGCTAAGGCTGGGGGCTGAAACTAGCAATAGTTTTTACAGAGATTTACTGTTTTTCACTTCTCTTCTATCCAAAAATTAATTCAAACCACATTAGAGAAACTGCCATACTAATGAGCTAACTGATGACCTCTGGTTTAACATACAGTTGGGCATATCTAATGTATTCATATTGCACCACAACTGACATTTGGAAGATGAGCTAGAGGACAGATGCAAATAAGGGAGTTACACAGACTGCTAGCCACAAAGCCCGAGTGAACCTTGGCATAGAATAACCTTGGTGCCTGTAAAAACAAATCTGTTAGCAGAAAATGCAGGAGGTCAGGACACTTAATTTCTTTTGGACACTGATATCATGTGAACAGATCAATAAAATGGAATCTTACCACTGCATTGCGTTGTACTCGGGATCGTACTTGGTCAATTTTACCTTCTTTAACCCTAGGAAATATGGAGGAATCTGCTCCCTTACAAAACAGAAATATATCACCTAAAAGAGACAGCATATGGAATTCAAAATGACCAAATATACTTTCTTCAAAAAACATCCAAATTAATGACTCTTCAAAATGTTTTCTTCCAACTTTTTGGTAACATTGTACTTATGCTAGTACCTGGTCCCTTATTTCATAAAGAAGGGCATACAGACTGTGTTTAATGCTTAACTCTGATAAATCTGAAACAAATTCAAGTGAGACAAAGAAATCAAACAGAATGTGACAGCCCTACCTGTTGGAGATTTAACAATTACACTCATTCGCCGTCTCACAGAATCAAAACTGAAAACCTCCAGTAATTCAAACCTGAAACAGAAACAGAACTATTTTTTACACAACTCTATTTTTTCCTATTCCTAAAGTGGTTATTATGACTTCAAGCACATAAATTAAACATTTCTTCTAACATGGAAGATTATGTTGACTAACATGGAATATGAAACTAGTACAGAATGAAACAGCAGGCTGTAAATAGTAAGGAAAGCCCTCAGCTCCCAGTTACTTGAAACAACTTGTGATGTCCCTAAGTACCCTCAGATGTATATATATGTATATGTCACTCAAATATAAGTAGAAGACTAGAAGCCTTGCAGCAGAGCACTGTACTGATTATAAAGTATGTTTCTATGTATAATACTTAGACATAGCCTTAGAACTTGAAATGCATGCTTACACCCTAGTCTTTTATTTTATATTTTTCTCGTTTTTATTATTCCTAATCTCCCAAAAGTGCTGACCTAATTCCATAATTTTGCTGAAATGTTTATAGATAATTTATTCAAGTGAAAAGAAAAATATTTCTTTTTACTGGTTTTATACTTGCCATTATTTCTATTATTTGATTTTATCACATGTTCCTCTCCTTTTTAAGAGGAAAAATGAACACAAGCTCCTGCTGCACTGTTTTGGTTTAATCAGTTTACTTCTATCATTTACTCTCTTATCTATTTCTCCTAACTTAAGAGAGCCTCCCATTTCCAGAGCAAACATAAACAATCCAATCATAAATCCCAACTTTTTCAGGATTCGTCTCTGTCCAAATCTGCATGTTTAATTAAATCACTCAGTCCTAAGTCTTTTTAACACCCTAGAACTCAGACCTGTGCAAAGCTACATCAGGCCTATGTCTACAAACTGTGATGCATTTGGGAGAAAATTCTCAATGATTACAGTGATTTCTTCTGAGTCACCAAATGATACTGACTCCAGTTCTTATGAGCTGAGCCTAAAAAGTCTCCATATTATCCTAAGAGGAGGTAAAGTTACAGCAGGGTTCCTATATTTGTGTCCAAGAGTCCCTGTACAGTTAGCAGAGTACCCAAGCAGGAAGATTTGGATATACCAGAGACTTAACCAGCAGACATCTAGAGATGTGTAAGGTAAATTTTCAAGGGTATGCACATACCACAGAACAGCTGTACTATTTCAATGTTATTGAAAATTTGACTCATGTTTATGTTCCACAAAATTTATTCTACAGATATTACCCTCCAGTAAATTCCATGGATTATCTGTGAACAGCAAACTGGGTACACAGCATTTTCTATTAAGAATATACAAAACCATCAGGAACTATTAGATTAGGTCATGAATCTCACACCACACCTTCCTTGTCATATCAATATTTTATACTGCATATAATGTCAAAAAAGTGAAGGTAATTAAAATTACTTAATTTTCTTAATTTTTCTACTAAAATGCAAGGTTCTTGGCTTTCCTGACTTAGAAATTCATCTGTAAGGAAACAATGGTTTATTAAACGCATCAACAAAAACTTATCAGTCTATTTTGTTATCTTTTTAACCACTCACTTTTCTATGTTATTTTCCCGATTTAAGATCTCCATGTAATTTTCTTTCAGCCTTAGATAGGTGTAACCAAGTCTGTAAAATGAAACACAGAATAAGAGAATGAATGTAACAAATATATAATTATCCAGTTTAAGCATTGTCATAAGGATTTAAAACTAAGCCCACAACAAACCAACACCAAAATCCCAAATTGTTTTTAGTTTATTTTAGGCTATGAATATTCATGAATTCATGTTAAGAAAACAATCAGCTGTAGATTGGTGTTTGTTATTATGATTTTTGTTCTGAAAACAAATTTGAGATTCAGTGATTAGATCTGTACTTTAGAAAAATATAATACCTAAGTACACACATACCTCTGTATTCCTTCAACTAAAGCAACTTCATCAGGTGATGATGATATATATATACAGGGTTTTCTTGGTACCTGGCTTTTCTTCAAACCATCTACGCTATCATCATCCTTTACCTGAACAGTGTGGCAGAGACAAAGAGCTCGGAAAAATAGTTCCTCTCTCTCCTGAGAAATAAAAGGAACGGCTGTCATTATGTGTTATCGCTTGAAAACTCTTCTTTCTCTTCTTTTTGGAGGTGATCCATATCACTGATTACTGCTGATTATTAATCAAACAAAGGCAGGCTCCTTGAGGGGGAGCCAGGTCTTTCCCTGTGGTAACCACACAATTGTGTCACAGCTGTCTGTACCCTTAGCATTTCCACACCAGTCAAGCTAATGGTGCAAAAAACCCCCAGCATGCATCTTCTACCTCCTCTGAATGCCCACATGCAGCTGAAGGTGTTTTTTCTTTACTTTTGCTTAAACTTTAACAACTTGTATTAATTACATACTAGTCAAGGTATCATTTAGAACTCCTGAGCTCACACAGAAGGATGTAGTACCTGGAGCACAGGTCTTAGCAGGGCTTACAGATTTCAATCTCTTGAGCAGCTTGAACACCCTTCGGAACTAAATAAATTACTGAAGTGCACATACTTTGGCAGCCAAACACTTCTTATGAAATTTCAGATAGTTTAGTAATGACAGCTGCCACCAGAAAGAGATTTCTATTTCATGGATACCTGTGTGTGTTTTATCTTTATCTTTGTGCCTGAAACCTATTCTTCTGTGCTGTTAAATACAAACTGTCTGTGACATTGTGATTCCAAGATAAAAACTCACCATACCTCAGGACCACATTCTGAGGGCCATGGGTGAGAGACATAAGGCTGCTAACCTACACCAACATATTTTAAGAGACCTCATTTTGTCACAGTGAAGGGTATGATATGAAGTGAGTGTGACTATGATACTGTACTGATGTAATAAAAAATACAATGTACTTTGGCTGTGATTATCCTGCCCATATACACCCTGTTCACCTGTTGGCATGTGAACACTCCCAAACTTTCAACTAATTTTCAACTTTCAACACAGCAAACAACCACAATACATACATGCTGTAGGTAGCACACTTCAGATGTGGCTAAATTAAGTCACATTTTAAAGTAATTTAATTTGATCATAAACCATTCTCTGGCCACATTTTCACTCAGTGATGACTAAGTAAGTGATTGCACGAAGCCCCCATTTTCCCCTTCGAGGATTTTCCTGTCTTGCTTTCTCTGTTGTAGCTAAGGTTAAATGGAAACCAGTTATCTGTGTCTGTAGCTATTAACCAGAGAAAGCTCTATATTTAGGTTTTGACTCAGCTTTACAAGTGCATTAAAATGAGAACCTTCCCATTAAGCCTTTAAATCTTACTCTTAACTAGGAAATTAAAATGTCTATGCAGTTATCTACTTTGATTAATAAAATTCAAGAATGTTGGATTTCTAACATTCCCTTTATCAGTACAGTTCCATTTTCATGTTTCATTGTAAAAAACCAAGAACATATACAGAGTTATCATACCTTTCCACTACTTCCTGGAGATGAATCAATCATATCAATGCCTGTACAATCATGGAGGATTTGGCCATTGCAGATAACATGTGGTACATAAATATGCCCTTCAATGCAACATTCTACAAATTCCATATTGTTCTCAGTTAATGTTCCTGTTTTATCTGTGAAGACATACTCAATCTGCAAACGAGCACAAAATAAAAACCGCAGGATTGTGAACAGAATTTTCCAATGTCTCCGAACAAAAACTCAGTCTAGTACTGGGCTACACCTTCCTTTGAAAATCCTTATGCTCTTTCAGAAAAAGAAGACAACAATTTCTTTTGGCAGTTATCTTCATAGAAATATAGGCCCTGAAAGATTTTATCCTGTAAGAGTATCAAACAATCCTATCTTTTGCCTCATAACGGATGTAAATGATGTTTTTAACCTACTTCCACTCTTCTCTCTAGGTCCTTTTTAGTTTTTAATGTCTTTCTTGCTGCAAGACAGATATTTATAGAAACAAAATGCATACAAATTTCATTTCCCAGGGATTATTATTTAATGCACATGCCTAGATGTGGATCAGTTACTGTCAGAACAGTCTTTAGGGTAGTATCAGAATTCCCCACTACAATTATGTTAGTTTAAATCAGGATTGTGGACACATACTGTTATACGCCTGGGCACTGTAATTGCCCTGGAAACACTCATTTTGTCTCAATATTGAATTTTTTATTAACTTTATCTTTTACAATGAGCCCCAGTGCTTAAGTCTAACAATATTAAAACTAAAACCAAAATCTGAACTATCAACTAGAAGAACTAGATTGGCTCAATTTTGGATCCTGGATGTAGGTATTGCATACATACTGCATGTCATATTGGATAAACTAAAAAATGAAGTAAGGTAAGGAACTAAACACTGAAAATAAGGCTATTATTTAGAATTCATCAGATTGTTTATCAAACTTCACCATTTATGCAGTGCACCGAGCAAACTAAAAACCAAATAAATTTTTGCTCAGTCTTCAAAAACATCATTAATTATGCACACTTTCCACTGAGATTGACTTTTATAATATGCACTAATCTGAAAAGGCAAATGCCAAATTTTATGGTGGCTTTTTATCTGTAGACAAAATTCCCGCAATTAAACTTTTTTCTGAGTGGATAGGATTTATATGGATTGTTTTCATCTCAACCCCTCCATTCAGTTTCATCATTAAATTTACAAAATGCTATCAATCAAGTCATTCAGTGTGTTGCTTTGTCACAGTGTTTCCTCATGTTCAGACAGACCCTCCAGTTTCAGGTTGTGCCCACTGCCTCTGGTCACCACTGAGAAAATCCTGGCTCTATCCTCTTAGTACCCTCCTGTTCAGGTATTTGTATAGATTGGTAAGATCTTCCCTGAACCTTCTTTCCTCCAGGCTGGACAGTCCCAGCTCTCTCTACCTGTCTTTGCATGAGCCATGGAAAGTCCAGTCCCTTGTCTGTCTTTGTGGTCCATCACTAGGCTCCCTCCAGTACGCTCCTGTGTCAGTACTGGGGAGCCCAGAGCTGGACACAGCACTCCAGGTGAGCCCTGCAGAGGGGTAGGATCACCTCCCCTGACCTGCTGGCAACACTTTGCCTAATGCAGCTCATGATACCCCTGGCCCTCTCTGCCATAGAGACACACTGCTGGCTCATGCTGAACTTGATTTCCATCAGGAGACACAGGTCCTTTCCTGCAAAGCTGCTTTCCAGCTGGATGGCCCCCAGTCACCCAAATCATTCATGATCAGGATGGGAGCCATACTGACCCCAGTGTACACTGCTAGATGCTGGCCTCCCACTGTGCACCCCTCTGAGCCTGGCTGCTCACCCCCTGCTCAATCCACCTCACTGTCTGCTCGTCCAGGCTGTAAATGCTCTTTGAGGATCTTATTGGAGGCAATGTCAATTGTCTGCCATAATAATGAAATACCTGGTACCACCGTTAATCCAAATAGATATGTATCCTTAAAACCTTTATTACCTGTTTGACTAGAAAGAAATACAACATCTTCAACATCTTATTTATTTATTTGAAAAGCTTATGAAAGTATTTTTAACTGAGATCTTAAATATTTTCTCAAACAACATTTATCTGTATCTGTCTCAAGGTGATGATTTTCTTAAGGCAGAACAGAATTTCTCTTCAAAAATGAGGCTGCCCATTGATCATTCTAATGGATGAAACTTGTGTCTGGAGATGCAGTGTCTAGTCTAGTCAGACAAAAAGGGATTTTTTTTTTTTTTTTTATCTAACTTTTAATCTAAGGAAGCTAGATGCTTATATAATATCCCTCTATAATCAATGGAGAAGAAGTGTTTATTCCTTAATACTACAGTAATACTGATTGAATTTCACTGACTGGGTGAGAAATCAGAATTTTTGATTCTGAAAACAAAAATAGCTCAGATTTTATAGTTAAATTTAATCAGCACTAAAGAAAATGCACATGTAGTTGCAAAAAACCTCAAAATAAAACAAAACTAAAAAACCTTGAAGCAGCAATCTTAAAATAAAAAATTACAGTAGAAACAGTTGGAAAAAAAGTATAATTCAATGAAATTTACCTGTCCCAACTCTTCATTGAGGTCAGAAGTGTTCACCAGTGGTCCTTCACCTGTACCCTCATCAAACATTTCCTCATCCCATGCAAGGAAATAAGAACCAAGAAATTTCTGCATTTCCACAGTGACATACATGGAGACAGGAATAATGTAGTTGAAAAGAACCATGAATGCAAGGAAATCTGTAAAAGCTTGAAGAAACTGACAAAGAAACAAGATGGAAATATTGATTTTTCATGTACCATTAAACACTGCAAGATTACTACATGTATTTACAAATCAGTTTTTTCAAATCACTTTTGAACAATAAGCAATGTCTGTCAAAGCTTGCAGTTCAGCACAGGATGTAAACCTTCATGATTTACAACATCACAACTGGCATGCAATAGAGTTTTTTCTTTGAAATTTGCATTTTTCTTTACAGATATACAGGTGTAGAATGCCATAACACAGCATTATTGTAAAGTTCTAGAGCAACTAATGAGCATGGCGAAGACTTTTTGGGGAACAAGGGAAACATTAACACGTACATTAAAAAATTAAAAAAAAATAGCATAGTTCCATAGCAACTCCTTCAAGGATTACCAAATTACATAACTTTCAGGCAGCATTTCATCAATAAATAAAGGGTTTCCCTTCCCTCTCTTAACACAAGCAAAATGTATGCACATAACCTGGCTCAATTTTTCAGTGGTGGAGACTTGGTGGAGTTATAGTCAACCTGCTGAGCAAGCTGAGACAGTGCTACTGGTGCTAATGGGAACTCTAGAAAGCCTGCCTAGCATGTGCTCCTCATGCATTTAGGGTAAGGAAGCAAATTTTCCCTTAGTCTGACTGGGAGGATTCAGTGAAATAAATATTGTGCTTTCTGTAGGGCAGGGTTCAGCTCGTTGCCTGGGATCCTCTGGGTATCCATTCAGGAAAATGTCCTTGTTCCTGTAAGAACATCTGGCACTGGTGACTGATGCTCTCTGATGCCTCCAGTCCTCATAACAGAATAATATGAAACTAAGCTTATGAGGGGCATTTTCATGGAGATTCCCACAGTGGATTATTTTGACCATGTCTCTTACAGAACTGCCAATAGCTGTGGGATTCCTTCCAGCCCTTGTATTTCTCAGTGAGAGGTCAATTCTTTAGTAATTTATATAAATAACAGGTAGCTCCAAAACACTTTCATGAAGCTTTTTATATTAAACTAGAGATTTTTTCATCAGTTAAATTCACACATACAACTTAAGGGCAAAAATTTAACATACAAGCTTTCTACAAGTACTCTATCACCACTGTCAGCAAAAAAGCATGACTGGTAAGTAAGCAGGCTGTATATACTTTTCAGTAGAGTCTCTATTAAATAAGGGTTTTGGGAAACTTTCTTGGTATTATCATTTATTTCCATACCAAATTTCTTTTCTTTTCAGGCTCTGTTTTCTGATTGTACCATGGCTCATCACGAAATGGTTCACTCTGCCAGGCATACTTCAGAACAGTATTTATTACTGCTTTACTGACGAGAATACAGAGGTATACAACAAGAAATACATTCATTGATCTAAAAAAAAAAAGGGCAAAATAAGAACCCCATTAGCATATAAACAACAGAGTTTATTAGAAAATGTTATACTCAGTCTGTTATACATCAATCTAATATTTGCTGCAAGTCTAACAATGCTGAGATGTTAAATAACTCTTCCAAAGTACTTTTCCAAAGAGGAACAATATTACTGCATTAAAATTTACAACTGCAGTATTTCCTATTTTTAAATTTCTATTTTTCCATTTTTATAGTTGTGTCCAAAATGTGTGTGACAAATTATCAAAACTAGAATATTAGTGAAAACAACAGTATAGATAGAATCATAACAGAACAACTGGGCTTGAATCTGCAGACCTTTTCATGCCACTTGGCTGAATCATTATAAGATCACTCACATAAGCACTTTTATAGAAATAAAAAAACTAAAAAAGAACATTTTGCTATACAGCTTTAATGTTTTAACTCTAGGCAGATCTGAAAAAAGAGCAAGAACATTTTGCATTTAAGATTATATTTTCATTAATGATGGGCATGAACTAAAAGCCATGGGTTTTACACCAATACCAATAGAAAGAGACACAACACCATTGCTCAGTCACTGTGTAAGAGAAAGGCTGTCAGCTGGTCAGTACATCTTGCCTCAATCAAAGACATCTTGTTTTTCACAAGGCTGGACACCTTACTCAGAGCTGATGATTTCAGATAGAGTAGGAATAGAAAATAGTAAGCAATCAATGTCAGCTCACTCCTTAAGGATAGCGCTGTCATACTTTCCCACCATGTATGTCTGTATGGAACTTGTTAATTTTAGCTATACGATGGAAAACATGTCACAGACAACCACTGTTACTGCAGCTGATCCAAAGTGAAGTGCATTAAAAAAGTTAATTTTACTGAATTCTAGACTAAATTGCAATGAAAAGCATTGAATGCTAGGATAATAAAAATTACAACCTTGGAAAACTGTCAGTACATGTACTCTAAACAGTGAAAGAGAAGTGAACAACAAAAAGTTATAGAACAACAAAACAGCATACATTACAGATCCAAGCATTAAATCAAAATGGCTTTATTGTTTGAACATCTAACAAGAATAATTTGGTATTGAGAACCTTATTTATACGGTGTTATGAGACTTGCATTATAAGTAAAAAAATAGTTTAAAATAAGCAAATTTGAAATCCCTCTACCTCTTTTCTTTCATTTAAATCAATGAAATATACACTTTCAGAGAAAAAAAATCTGATTTGCACCATTTAAACATGCAGCTTTCAAACCCCAAAATAAGTATTACATATTTTACTTCTCTACAGCAGAACGCTTCTGTGATTTTGATTGGTAATTTAATGCCATCTTGGTTTCCATGCCAGTGTAGATAGCAACACCTGAAATTAGACAATTTGTTTTACTAAAGATTGCACAGTGCAGTAACTTCAAAAGAGTACAATTCATAAGATTATTATACTCTGTCATTTCTTTAATTCTTTAGTCTGAAGAAAGAAACCACAGATTTGGATGACAACCCAAAATTAGAAATGGCTTAATTATCTTGGTACTTAGAAATTTTAAGCAGCATTTACATCCCATTCCAGTCACAATTTCCAATTGCTAAAGTAGTTCTACGTAACAATATTAAACACTATTAAAAAGTTGTAAAACAAGTGATGCAATAGAAATCATAAGCTCAGTAGTAACTGTAAGCTTGTAACCTTGTTTGGTGTTTGCTTATTACTTCAAGGTCCATTAAAGTAGTCAACAGAAATACTTACCAAAGATTTTTTCTGTGTTCTTTAAAGTGGCTCCTCTAAGAAGCAGATTTTCAGATCCTAATGGCCTGCAAAAGGTAAGTATTAGAAAATTTAAACATTTCGAGAAAACCATCAGGCCTTAGTGGAAGTTACATAAAACAGGAAATTTGTTTTACTAAAAACCTTTTAACAAATTACAAGGCATATTTAAATTTTTTAAGTGAAAATTAAAAATAGATAAAGATATGCCTAAAATTAAGATCACAATTTCACAATTCAAGTCTTAACCAATGCACCTAAACCCCATATATGTAGGTACCCAAATAAAAACTCACCATCCTAATTGCACAGTACTTATTTTTAAAAATATTAATTCTATTTTTTAGGCTTATATAAACTATAGTGTCCTGTGTGTTAGAACTTCTTAAGGACAATACAATCCTCCATTTTATTTTAAATAGCACGCAAGATATTTTTGATACTTGCTGTAAACATTTCTCAAAATGCCGATAAATATAGGTAAAATAATTTATTGAAGAGTACAGGAATTAATGTAAGGACCGCAATGAAGTTTAAATAATATTTTGGAACATGATATGTACACTTATCATCATATGAGTTCAAAGCCAAGGACTACTTTACAGACAGACTGCATGCTGAATTATCATTCTACCTATACAGCAATAAAAAAAACCAAGAAGTACATTCAGCGTTTCCCAATGTTATTTGAAGTGCACTTGTGGTATGAAACTCCCCCAAAAAATCAAGAAACTCCAAACAAACAGGGCCACAATGCTGATGTAAAACCTGAAACTACTTTCAAGAAACTAGGAGAACAATGTTACATGAATGACCCAGATCAATCGACAGTTTCCATAGCAGACTGAGACAGAAAATAACATATCTAAAGACACACTGAGGATAGGAAGGCACTTAGCCAGCGTAGCACTGCCTAACTCCCCACATGCTGGGATCTAGGATACCACCCCAGCAAGCAGCTTTTCTCTCCTATTGCTTTGCCTCTTTGCGACCAGAATCAGAATAAAATCAGGTACAGCAAGGTGGATGTTGTCTCCCTTGAACACACAGCATTATGGACACTTTACACAGAAGTACAAACACACTCAGTAAAATTACAGTAAAAAAAATGACATGTTCAAACCCTTCAAAATTTAAGAAAAATGAAAAACACAAGTGGTACTATTTATATTGTTTACTGCACTACCAAGATCTCACACTAATGGGGCAGTGTTGTACAAGTGCTGTCAAAATCCTATCAACATCATTTACAAACTAAGTACATTTCAGATAAAATTGAAGTTGAACAAAGACATTAAAATACTAAAGAGAAATATGATTAGAAGACAAAATATCAATTATTTATGAAAGAGCAGTCTGGAATTTTCAAAGAGAAAAATATTTTATCATTGAAACATAGCAGCACAATGTTGGTGAACCAAAGGTAATTCTCATTATTAATACTTATTGAACTGTGAAATATTTAAATGTGTAGAAACTCTGTATTTCCCCACCTTGCAATAGGCTCATTCCTATCATGGTAAACATTTATTCGACCAACAAATCTGAAAGGGAAATATACAAGTAGTTTAACAGTACTGCTAATAGATTATTTAAGAAATATTTTCTAGAAAGTATGTATCACAGAGAACACTTTCCAACTGAACAGGCTACAATTATCCAGAACATGAACAAGAATGTAAGAGATACATATAGATATACACTTAAAACAAGCAAATACAAAAATACATAGAATGGTAACTTGACATAAATTTTGCAAATAAAGAGGTGTAAAAAATAGGGATAAATCTTCTAAGTAGACCCATGAAAAAGAAATAAAAAGTCTTATTCCCTAAACTACCTGAGATAAGTCAGTGCAATTACTACATTTTACAACAGCTAAAGCCTACAGCTAAATTAAAACCAAAGCAAACCAAAGCATATAGCCAGTAAGTAATTCTTCCCCATAGTATTTGTCAGTACATTTTATCTGTATGTGGTGGCTTGACCCTGGATAGCAGCTAAGCACCCATCAGCCTCTGGCTCCTTCCCTCCCCAGCAGGACAGGGAACAGAATTGGAGGAGTAAAAGTAAGATCTTGACAGTTTAATAAGTGAAGGGAAAAAAACAAGTGACACAAAGTCAACTACTGACCACCTCCCATCAGCCTGCCAATGTCCAGCTAGTCTCCAGCTGCTTTGGAAGACTGACCCCTGGCCCTGGTTCTATTGCTGAGCATGACACTATATAGCACAGACCTCTGGTCATGGCACCAGACCCTCTGGTCAACTGAGGTCAGCTATCCTGGCTGTGTCCATCCCCAGCCTCTTGCCCACCCCCAGCCTATTTTCTGGAGGGGCAAAATGAGGAACAAAAAGTTCGACACTGTAAAAATTTGGCAACAATAGCTAAAAACATGGTGTGCAATTAATGCTGTTGTGGTCTCAGAGCAACAACACTACATTACTCTGGCTGCTACGAAGGGAACTGACTTCATTCCAGCCACAATCAGTACACTGTATTTGCAATATACCACTGCCCAAGTGGATAACCTAATGCAAAGGGGATTAAGCTGGACATTAGGGTTCTCAATTGTAGAGGAAACTCTGGGGAGCTGGTGAGCCTGCTACCCCAAAATGGAACCTCTGAGGTTCACAGGAGTGGTAACCTGTCTGCTGAGAGAACATACAACATGGTAGGACCACATCTGAAGACAATAATGTACAGTTGGTTACGATGCATCATGATACAAAATAACCTCGTGCCTTTGGAAAAGAAGATCCTCCAGTGTGTTTTGTTGAGAGGTAAAATTTCAAGTTCAAATCAGCAGAGATACAAGCTGACTACCAATAAACATTTTCAGTATTTTGTGTCAACAGCTATCCCAAAGAATTTCACCACCTATAGTAGCATGAGTTTCAACTTGCAGTCATTCACTTTGAGAACCAAGTATTTTAAAAAAGGATCAAGTAAGTGATGGACTTGATACTCTGAAGAACCTGTTCTCAAGCAGATTTCTAAACCAGCTTCTTGATCACCAAGATAGCAGAAAAGAGATGCCTTCACACCTCAGAAATAAGCAATGTTTTTTCTGCATCTTCCAACAGTATTTGCTGCCAAAAGAGTGTATTTCAGCTTGACATCATATTGTTTTCTTTGTATTATTTCAGCTATTTTTTACTGTGGTAGAAAAAATAAGTGCTTTCCCAATGGCAGAGGACTTCTTGTATTACTATTAAGCAACTTCAAAAGGGGCTTCTCAAGATTTCTCATTAGGTTTAGTGGAATTGTGTACAGTTCTTTTTGTAAAATACTGAGTGTTGTATGACTTCATGCAACTGTAGATATTTTTCTTCATGTTCTTCATTAAAGTGTTTTCCTAATCGTGATGGCTTCATGCTGTCATTAGCCAGTATTTCAAAGCCTGTGGTATGAGGCTCATGGTTAACAACAGCAGATGAAAATCTGTATTTCAAATAGTCTTGACAATTTAAATTTTTTGTGGCTGACATCCTTTCAGATCTGATTAGATTGACAGTGGCTTTACTTTGTAATGTGACTGATGAAGTTCTGTACCAGGACTACAAGTGCTTGTTATTTACTTACTGTGCATTTCTGCTAGACTGTTACTATTATCTTCAATCTGCAATATCTTTTCAAGAGTCTTTTTAAGCCACTTCAGCATTTTTTGAGTGTTATTTTAGTTAAAACTAGATAATATAATCTCTAAATCCATTTAACTGGGTACACATAAATGACAATACTTTGCAATATGCTGAAAGCAAAGGAGTGAGTGCCACAGGCAACTTCTCCATATTGTGGAACACCCTTTTCCTCTGGAGAACCTCAAAATGGTGTGCGACACACAGAGGGGGTATGGGTGCCAATATCAAGACATGTACTAAGTATTAGTAAATCTTAACTTCTTCCTTATTTTTAATTAAAAAAAAGAAACTGAAGTTCTAAAATTTTCACTACATTCCTCAGTAGACTGCTTTGTGCCATTCCCCTTTGGAAATCACTACCCCAGAGCACACCTAGGGAGCTACCTCCACAAAAGGAGTATGAATGGAAGACCTACCTGACTTCAAGCTCACTCTGGGGCTCACTCTAACCAGAGAGATGCAGCCAGTATCCTTTCATTATGATTTTTTATGATTTATTGCTCAGGTACCTTAAATGAAACAGGTAAGAATTATTGTCTTACTTATAAAGGTCAGGCTGAGGTTGTTCACATTCAATGGTAGCATGTAGTGCATCGATTTCCTGTTCATTGTGAAATGCCTTTGTGTCTTGAACAGCATAGTAAGTCTGGAATCAATAAAAACATGTAAATAAAATAAAAAAGAACAGATACACAAGACATTAATCTGTACATACACTGCAGCTCAGCATGAAATCTACTAACTTATGTAAGAGCTCATAATTCAAATACAAAGCATCTCTAAATGCTCCTATTTTCTTAGATGGTCTTTTTACATGGTCTTACATGGTCTTTTCCAACCTTTTTTTTTAATGATTATACAGAAATGTGAAAGTACCTTGCAGTGTATTCATATATCAGGTCACTATGAAAGCATATAAGTACAAAACATTAGTGTATTACCACTGTAATCTGCACGCCTATATTGGACACAAACAAAATCACAAATTAATGTCTTAAAACTTTTCATAAACTAATATTACTTTAAGAGAAATGAAGTCAGATGGTAGAAACATAAATTACACAAATCAGTGTACCTGCTTACACATGTAAGCATGAAGTCATATTGTTGTCTGTGTCAAAAATTATAAGCAAACTTTGCCTTAGAAAGAAAATGTAGAACATTTAATTACTTTCTGACTGGATTCACCATCCAAACTAGTTGTTGTAACAAAACATGTTCCATCTCCTCTACTACTCGATAGGAATATTAAATCACATGGGAATGTTTCATTTTCTTTCACCATTACAATATCTCCAACCTAAGGAAAAAACACAAGAAAATAAAATGCATGTATGTAGCAGCCCCAATTTCATATTTCCTAGATTAACATAAATATTTTGAAAATTCAGCAGATTTATTTACACCACCATTTTACTACAAGAGTAAAGAACTACAGAGATATCTCTGGAAAACTGAATTATACCTTGTAGAATTACTGATATCTACTGTTTCTGGCTTTCCTCTCAGGATAACCATCCTGCTAGTACTGTCTTATTAAGTTTTGCAACATTATTTGAGAGATGGAAGATATTATACTTGTTTTAAGACTAAATGCAACAAAACTGTTTCAAAAACAGCAGGAGAAATGAACTACTCTTAGACACAGCTGAAAAAGTGTCAGAAAAAGCCAGCAATTTAATCTGCTGCTGAAAACAGGATCCATTTTTAGCAGAATTTTTGATTAGAAGTCCATCCTATTTTTATCCATGTTTGAAGGTGAGAAAAATAATTTTTATTCATGGAAACATAGGCAATATTTTACAGCACATTAGAATGTTGCAACAGAACAGCCAACCAATTACAAATTCAAAATATTCATGCAAATCATTCAAGAAAAATTATTTTTTCTACATTTCTAGAGATTAAACAAGTGGCAAAGACATATTCCATGTTCTAAGACTACCAGGGATTTAGTAAAAATCCCATAAAAAATACATAATTTTTGCAATTTTTCATGTAGGACAACATCTGTTCAATATACTTTTATGTCATAATTTATTATAATAAGAACCAGCTTAATCATTGCTTGTTATATCCCTATAAAGCTAAATTCCACTATCCTTGTAGTTCGCAGGAGTCACTTAATTCCAGTTAAGCAAAACAGTCTGATAAAAATCAGCAATAGCAACATCTAAAAATAAAATTTCAGCATTATAAAAAATGAGATTTATCTAATTGTAGATATGAAAAAGGCTTTTTTTTTCTTAACCAATAGCAATGAAAAATTGCAGATTGTACACATGGCACAGGAGAACACAAACTCTAAGCATATCTGCAACAATCAGGTATGAAATTCTCATTTTCCTCAATCCAAACCAAATAAAAGTAGTACATAGCATCTTAATACAATTTAGTACTAGTACTATGTACTAGTACATAGCATCTTAATACAATTTAAAAGCTGTTCCAGTATTTGCCAGTATGTCAGCTAAGGATGCAAAGGGGACAGGGACAGGTTCATTCTGGTGGAAAGCGACAGGACCGGAGGCAGTGGGCACAACCTGGAAGGTGGGAGGGTCCACCTCGTTCTCATCGTGGCTGAGCCCTGGAACAGCTGCCCAAGGGAGGCAGTGGAGTCCTCATCCTTGGAGAGACTTGAAACCTGTCTAGAGAGGATCCCGAGCAAACAGCTCTTGGTGGCCCTGCTGGAGCTGGGGGCTGGACCAGAAAACCTCCAGTAAAATGAAGTAGAGCCACTGTCAATGCCAACCTCAACCATTCTCTGGTTGTGTGAAAAAGAACTCCTCTTTTAGCAATCCTTTTTTTCCTTCTTTATAATGAAGTGTCCTCAGGCTTTAGGTGCAGAGGGGCTACTTTTTAGAACCTAGTCTGTTTTCTCATGTAACATAGATCTGAGAATTTCACCCATTTACAAATAGACACAGATATCTCTGTCTATGCAAATGTTTTCAAGGTTTGTCTCTCCTATCATTTAGTCACTCAATATACACCCTTATGAAAGGTAATAAACAGGGGAAAAATTAAGAAAATATGGGTGACATATTAACCACTAAAATTCAAAATCTAGTTGCATGGTGCTTGACTGTTTTTGTTTGGTATATTTAACTGGTTAGTTAACATACCTGAAATTCTCAAGCATGTGATGTCCTAATTTTTTTTTATTACTAGGAAGCCTCAGGCAGAAGCTATCACACTCAAATGGAAGGTCACAGCAGAAAGGCTGTGAACACTGTTGATACACTTATGCCCAAAAACAGCAGAGCAGAAAAAGACGTCCAAACAAACATATTAAAAAAAAGAAAATTCCAAACAAATATCTATCAAATTTTTTGAATTCCAAAGAAAATAATGTTAAGAGGTTAATCTGCTCTCAAAAAAAAAACCAAAAGAAACAAGCAGCAAAAAATAATTTCTGAAAATATGCTAAAAGGGGAATGTAGCAGCATTCACAAGATCAATTGAGAGATTGTGATTTGATGGGTTTTGAGAAAATATTTCGAATGTGTTTTGTCTGCACATATGCATATATCTCTATACATAGCACTGACCATCACAATCTGAATTAAATTAATTATTAATGTGCATAATAGTAATTATAGCCCATCCCAAAGAGTGTTAAGGCCAGGTGAAATAAGGCTCTGAACAACCTGGTCTAGGGCAATGTGTCCCTGCCCATGGCACAGGGATTGGAACTAGGTGATCTTTAATGTCCCTACCAACCCAAAGCATCCTATGATTCTGTGATAATCACAGTGGACAGAAAATAGAGAAAAGATAAATCATGACAGAAATTCCAAGTTAAAAATGGAAAATAAAAGTAACATTTATGGAAGGAGTTAGTTAATGCCAGTTAAGCAAAATGGCTGATAAAAAACAGTAATAGTAGCATCTAAAATTAAAATTTTAGAATGATGTTAATAAATGAGATTTATCTAATCTCATTTGGGATTAAATTTTGTAATTTTATAAAAATATGAATTAATTTTATAAAAATATTTTATTCAGAAACATAAAACTAAAAATTAGTATGCAGTAGATCTAATCATTAAATGCAATAACTGCTGCATCATCACAGTACATATTTGCATAACTTGTTTTATGTGTGATGTGTACAAGAAGGGTGAAGTAAAATCTGACTCACAAAACCTGTTAAGTCATAGTTACTTACTCTTAATTTTCGGCTTTGCTTTCTAACCAGTTTTCCATGCTGAATGAAATGAACAGGGCAATGATTTATTGCATTGTCAGCTTTATGTCTCAGCCAATCTTCATAACCCTAGAAAAGAGTGAAATGGAATGATACAGTGATGCACATTTGGCTATAAAGACACAGAATAGCTCTAGCTTATAAGAAAAATTTTAAGAATTATCCTTGATCACTGTAAGGGAAAAAATATTCTCACTAGAACAAATGAAATTGTGATCCATGTCAGTACTAGAGCTGTGCTGGATATGTATGAAAAAGAGCATTCATGGTTACAATTAGTCAAACAAAACCATGTATTTCAATAAAGACATCTGGATGAATAAGGGTTTCAAAAGTGTACAACAGTTTCTGTATGTAAGTGATTATCTCCTGCTCATGCTCTCTTGACTCGAGTAAGTGCACAGTACTCATAAAAGCAGTTGTCAAGAAGGTGGTAGTGTATATAATATATATTTTGGAAGTAATATATTTTGGTAGTAATAGATTTTGGAAGAATGGGACTTTATACTGTAAGATGATAGACATGACATGACAAAAGGTTATCGTATTTGATGACTGTCTTACATTTAAGCCAAATCTGTTAACCCTATATACAATATAGAGTTATGAACAATTTTGTTTTGAGAAACTTTGCAGAGTACCCTATTTTAGTGCACAATTACCCTATGAATTTGTGTTTTATACAAGCAGACAAACTAAAGGATAGGGAATCTGCAACTTTCTATTGAAAAGGTCCTGCCATATGACAAAGATGGGATTGACAAAGTCATCAGTGGTTAAGAGATGGAAAATACCACTTGTAGTCCACAGCATTTTTAGATCTAACTCTCTTGAGCACATTTGAAAATTCAATGCAGAACAAAAGTATCACTACCTTGGATGCTCTCAAAAATAATTTGGGAATGTATAGAGACTTTATAACTTTAGTGTAATATACTTTCAGGGGTTGGTACAGCTCCTCAAGAAGGTCCCAAAATGTACACAAGTTGTTGGGAAGAAAAATCAAGGAACTACACAGAACTGCAGTACCAGGCACAGCCTGTCATAACCCAGGCTTTGGTAGGTCACTACTTAAAAGTGTAACATTTAAATTCTTAAGAGTGGGAAAGTCACACTAAACTTGCATACTTGCATGTATCACAACTTTTGCTCAACAAGAAGAGCTGAATTTAAGTATAGAATATACTCAATTATGCATAGTTACCACTATAAAGAAAGAGAAACAGAACTCTCCATAGCTTCTTTGAAGACTCATGAAGTCTGCATTTAGCATAAAGACTGTGAAGACAGTAAGTTATCTATTAAGGGACAACTGAAACTATCCTCTATTTTGGGACCATCTGGGGTGGAGTTAGCTTTCTTCACAACAGTCCTGTGCGGCTGTGCTTTGTACTTGGGGCTAACCCAGTCTTTTTCACACCCCAGTGTTTTGGCTACTACTGAAGAGTGTCAGCATCAAGGCTTTCTCTTTAACCTTCTCCCAGAGCAGACCAGCAGGCTATGGCGGGTAAGAGGCTGGGAGGGGGCACTGCTTGGACAGCAAACCCAAACTGACCTAACTCTCTCTTTGGTTTTACTTTTGCTCCCTCCATTGCTCACCTGTTTGATAGCTGTGACAGTGATGACAAACAGAAGTGGAAGTCCACTTGTAACTGGACTAGTAGGTGTATCAATAATTAACTGCAACAAAAAGAACAAGTATTTTCTGGTTATATTTTTGTGAATGCTAGCAGTCAATCTTTCAATAAAGATCTTTCAAGCAATTCCCTCAATATGTTAAAAGACATCAAGGAATTTTAATCGAAAAAAACAGTACTTCAATAAAATTTTAAGAATGTGTACTATACTGGCAAAAATTTGAAAACTGGATTCTGTGAGAAGATACAATACTGTAGTTAGATCACATTAATAGCAGATGTTAATGCCTTGTAAAAATATTTGCCAGCAAGACTTTAGAGAAGTATTAGACTGGAAAGCTGCAGCTTTGGAAGCAAAATTATGGAGCACCATTAGAAATTAGCATGGCACTGGCTTTACATGTTATACAATAGAGCTGTTCTTATGCACACAAAAAGTAAATTCTGAAATATTGAGCTAGGGCTTCTGCAAATATAAACAAAGAGGCAGAATTCACAGAGGGAGTGCAAATGACAAAATCTAAGTTGTGCTGAGAATCTGCACTGCTTTTTTTCTACAGAATCTGGTCTGCAAAGTAATACAGCTCTTCACTTAGTAAGATTTTTATTATTTAACACAGTAAGTGACTGTGACAGGTTCAGAATTAAGACACCTATAAAGCAGCACACTAGATATTCATGGAACTCATTTCAAAAGCAAGTATTTATGTACCTCCCTAAGCAAGCATCATATCAATACCTATTATAATAGTTCTGACAAGCTTTGATCACAGTACACTTGGAAAACTGGGATCAAGACATTATTTTGTTATAAAATATAGTATTTTTGCAGAACAAAGAAAACTTTGTCATCAACAGAATTTATAGTAACAGTTTTACTGATCTGGATGTTTATTACAAAATAAAAACTACAGACATTCTTTTCAATTTTTCAAGACATAGGTCTTGCCGTCCAGCTAGTGTGGCTGTCAAATTCTCTTCAGATTCATTTCACATTGACAACCTGGAAATTAAATAAAACCCCTTTTGTCATATCATCAGTGTATAAAAGGCTTCTAGGTGCAACCATTTACCTCCATGGTCATCAAAATCAGGTAATTTTAAAACTTTTTTCAACTTCTTCCTATTTTAGAAAGAGCACAGAACTTACTGTGAAATGGGGAGCACTTACCTGAACAAGGAAAATGATGAGAAAATAGAAGTTAGCTATTCTTCTGAATTGCTCAAACAAATTTTTTGGTATAAAGTTCCAAAACGTGTACTGAAAACAAATGCACAGATTATGAATGTTTGTGAAGAAAATATTATTCACATTCAATTTTATAATTCACATTTCAAGATTAAACTAAAGAAGCAGGAGTGGTTTTGTTACTTAGTTCAATAATTTACTGAATTTTAATCTTAATCGACAATCATGTATTCTTACAATAGTATTGTCTTCCTGAACTGTGATAATCTTTGTACTAGGGATTGTAATAATTTTTTAACTAGCAATAATACTTCTCCAGAGTTAGCTAGTTATGGAATGGTTCATTTAAAGCTGTTAATGGATTTTAAAAGCACCTTAGTAATTTCAAAGAGCACTTTTAATTCACTTTTATGTTGTGTTCATGACCTGAGATAGGTGGCACTCAGAGCTAACTACACAATAATAGCAAGACAACCAAATAAAAGCCGTCAACTCTTTTCTTCCTTGGCAGGGACTAAAATACTCCTCAAGATAAACTACAGTGGTGAATAAGAGTAAGTGGCTGCATATTTCTGTACTGATCCTACAAATTTCCCTAAGTGTTGCAAAATGACATAGGAAACGGTACATAAAGCTGCAAACAGTAAATGTGAAAACTTCAAATGTAAAAAGTTATGTAAAAGTGATAAAGGACATCATCTAGTCCCCATCCCCTGCCCTGCAGCAGGTTCAACTAAAGTGCTTTTACACAGCTCACTTTGTAGCTCCAGCAAAACATTGCAAGGATTGCTTATTGGAACACATGTTAAAAAATGTCAGCTAAAATTGTGTGAAAAGGTTTGAAAAATGGCTTGAGAAAAGTAGCACTGCATCATCTTATTATCTAAATTATCCTTTGACACATAATAAAATGACAACTCCAATAAAACTTTCATTTCAAACAAGATGGGGTAAGAAGCTTATCCTAATTTATTTGCTCTGTTACAAATGTGCCTTGTCTCCTCTTGGCAGATTGCACTTATACTTGCTGATAACCAAATTATTCCATGAGCTAGACATCTTCTGAATTTGGCCCTGAAGGCAAAGACAGAGCTCCAGAAGGAAAGTACTCTTATTACATCTACAGACAAAAAGTATCCAGGATAAATATGCTTTAAACGTACATGAAATCCCATCATATACAGCAATCTTTGTACTTCTTGGGTGTTAAAGCCTGAACGTGTGCAAGACATAGGAATGAAATGTTCTTCTCCTGTTGTGTACCAAAAATCGGTATCTATCTTAAATATGCCCTAAGTTACCACTTAATCCTGCATAATAGCTAGTTCAGTATTAAATCACCTGTGAGCAAGCCAAAACTCAGGCATGCAGACATGCAACAGCTAGAAAATCAAGTGTTCTAGTCTTGCAATCAGAACACTTTTCATCAGACAGGAATGTAGTTTGCACTACTCATTATCCAGCTACGTGGAATTTTCAGAGACAATGAGTTAGACTTGATTATTTTTCCTTGCACTACCAATGCTGATCATTCAAAACTACTATTATGATACATGACCATATGGATTCTATTCAATGACAATAATTGCATATTTTCATCATTATCAGGTAAGTTAGCTCTGTTTTTTAATTATATCCATTTATTTTTTTAAGAATGCCTGCCTGCTGGGAAAGAAAAGTGAAAAACAGTTGTTTCCATTTTTCTGTTTAGCTCCCTTGATAGAGCTACTTTGAAAAAAAATACTATTTTTTCCATGGTAAAGGGTCTTCTGACCATTAAAAGTTAAATGATTTACACAAGTCCCCCAAATCACCATTCATTAAATAAAAATGTAATCTCTTATGTAATAACTTCTACTTCAAATCTCCTAGAGGGTTTTTGATGAAACATCTGGTAATAGCATTTTACTGTTGGACAAGCTATTTAAAGTATCTGATTGAGAAATCAAGTAAATCAATTAAATCAACAATCCATAAAAAGGTTGTTCACCTTTAGCCTTAGTATCCAATTCTCCTCATATTCCAACCTTAGTTCACTCCTTTCCCTGCAAGCTGTGGTCTACCACAGCTCCACCTTTGATCAGAAACTCTCTTAGATTAATAAAAGTGAATTACATGGGAACAAATCACTTTAATGGTTGAGAAGTTCTTCCTGAAATGGACGCTTCTTTAACACAGACTACTTCTTAAAACTTTATTTTCAATCTGACAAATTTTTAGCACTTTGCGACTCTGGGTTTCAGGCATACTAAGTATGTCTTTATTCTGCCCATTCATCTTCAACAGAGAAGTAATGATTTTTGCAGTTTAGGCAAGAAAGAACACTAAGATGTCTAGACAGACCTTCCCCTACCCAAGCCATCAGTAGCTCAGAGCAGTATTTACAGATGGGCAAGTAATGTTTAATCAACATAATCAATCCTCAGAGAAGCAACCGAGAGGCTGCCACTCAGAACAAGATTTATCTCATGACTGCTGCATTCAAGGCAGTTTCTCTACCCTAGCTAGGCAGGAACAAAACAAAAAAATTTAAAGCAAAGTCATTCAAACTGACCTTATTAAATCCATCAGATTACTCTGCTGAGAGTTAGTACTATCATCTCTCTCCTTCAGATAATTTCTAGTCATGTTCTTTGTAAACTCTTAAAAAGTGGTTTGTGTATATTTACTTTTTTTTTCCACTACAATTCACTTGAATGATATAAGTTTATCCAAACAGTTAAACACTATTTAGATAAGCTTTCGAGTTGGAGATGGCTTAAATGATCTTTTCCAAATGCTACAGAAGACCCACAGGCCAGAGCGCACGGGTGTTTTGTGCTTACAAGAGGTAACACATCAGACACAAAGTAGTAGTAGCAGTAGTAATGCATCCAGCCAAAAGAAGAACACATGGTGCCAACAGATGCATCTGAAGCACTGTGCAAGAGTCTGTAAGATAAATCTGGTGTCAAAACAGCATCATGCAAGTAGATTTTCTTCCCGTTTATAATTGCAGTAGCTGCAGTGCTGATGTATTTCTGCACTCATGAGCGCATCCATAGTATTCCCACCCATGCCCCTGGCTCCATCTTGCTCTTTACTGATACCATCTTGCTTTCAGCACCTCCAAAGTCAGCCACACAAATTCCAAAATGTAAAATACAGTGTTCTTGACACCATACTTTGACCTTTCCATTTGGTATCCACATGCCAGAATTTTGGCTCATATTTCAAGCTTCTCTTTCTACCCTAAGAGGTAGATATTTTCTTAAGGAGAGTTTCTTAAGTAATCACTTTACATCAAAAGCTGAAGCTGTAAGAAAAAGCACTTCATACTGAGTTTTGTCAACACCTCAGTTTCTTACAGATTATTTGTTTTAAATAGTCACCACCTCTCTTCTAACACACCCTGATTTCACTCTTTTCACTCAACCTTTTTGACTGCTTCTTGTAAATGTTTAAAACTACTACAATAAAAACATATACTATATTGGTTTAGCCCTGGTTTGTAGACATCTTCCTATGATAAATCTCATCCATTCTACAAAACAAAATCCATCCTGAGGATAATAAAATCAGGGTAGTATAAAGAAAAGCCGATCTTGCATTGATTTGTGTCCATGGTGACTTCAGTATTTTTAATGAACATATTTTTATATCAATTACCAATAAACAAGACATGCTTAAAGCTGCAGTTTAAAAACCAGATTGCAGGCACGTATGCATACCATGGAATGGTTTCGGTGGAAAAGGACATTGAAGATCTTCTCAAGCATCCAGCCCCAACCTCCCTGCCATGGGCAGAGACACGTTCCACTTGACCAGGCTGCTCCAAGCCCCATCCAAACCAACCTTGAATGCTTCCAGAGATGCAGCATCTACAACTTCTCAGGATAACCTGTTCCAGTGCCTCACCATCCTCAAGGTAATTCTAAACCAGCCCTCTATTAAGCTTCAAGCCCTTCTCCCTTGTCCTGTCACTTAACAGCCTTGTAAAAAGTCCCTCTGCAGCTTTTTTGTAGTCTTTTAGTACTGAAAATAACACTTTGTATATAACACCACCTTACAAAGTCTTATATTACTAAAAATGACATAAATATTACATATATTATATATGTATAGGTAACTCTCTTCAATAGAATGGCTGAAAAAGGTCTGATCAAAAGTTTCATAGCTTCTTTAAAGTTAATTTTATTTATTGAAAAATTACTTTTTTTTTTGGAAACATAATTTGTCTATCTATATAGAGAATTGGTACAGAAAACTACTGCAAAAAGTATAAAAAAACCCAGGAAATCAGTAATTATCTGAAATCATAAGAAGTGAGTTCAGAGTATGCCTTGTCCAACTCAAGTGACTTGCTTATAAACACATAGGAAGTTTATAGCATAACTCACCTATGTTCTTTAATGTATTAAATTAATATGAAGACTTTGACTCAAAGCAAAAAAAAATACAGACTTCTGTGCTTATATGCTACGCAACAGAAATGGAATATTTTGAAAAGTGTTGTGCCATATTTATGACAATTTGGAATGAATGCAGAAAGACACAACAATACATTAACAAAAATATTAACATATGCACCATCTGCACAGTGCTTATCACTCCACTGAGGGAGGGACTCTGGTTTCTCCACATCACAAGGTCCTTCACAACACAAGGATCAGTGAAAGCTCTGCTACATGTAGGGCTTTTACAAGTGAATAACAACCACCAATGTATTAGAGACAGTGCAAAAATGAAACTGATTTAGGGAAGTTATATCAAATGGCACACTTGATAAACCAAGATACGTATTTTGGCAGAGCATTCCTTAAAACCAGTTGATAAAACAGGATTTCTATTACAAACTAGTCTATCTTTAGTAGTCTCTGTTCAGCAACTCCTAGTCTTATCAAATAAAGGCTATTAACTCCAGGAACTCCTCTGACAAAGAAATCCTCCAGCATTTGTAATTATGTAATTGTAATTTTAAAAATGAAAAAAAAAAAACCTTACAGCAAGGATGACTGACTGAGAACAGAAATCATAGAGAAGAAAACTAGGAAAACAGAATAAAGAGCATGTGAGACTAAGGAAGCTTGACT